ATCCATTGTCTTTCCTTTATTGTGCAGGAATATATATATATATATATATATATATATTTAGATGTCGAAAATCCAAGGGGTGACAATATTTATCCACATGTCACTTATCTGTCCATGTAATCTATCTATCTGTCCATATCACCACCACCACTAGTCGCCACCATCGGCAGCATTTTCGACCATTTTTCTAGCAATTTTTCCAACGTTGGAGGTGGTCTGGTAGTGATCTAGTATCAGGGTGATAAATTAGAAAACAAATTTCATCAAAACAATAATTTGTTCTTCTCACCAAATAATTTCATTAATCATGTCCTTATTTTCATAAAAAAGTGAATCACAAATTGCATTTGTTAACTACACATCATTCAATCACTATATTAAATAACAAAAAAAAAAAAAAAAAAAACTAGAAATCATCCCAAATTATAAAACTCCAATTACAAAATTACAAAACTATTTTCAAAACATACAACTAAAAAAATTGCAGATTAATGAAATTGTTTGGTGACTTTTTCATGGAAATAAGGACATAATTAATGAAATTGTTTGGAAGCACATAGAATCATTCATCAATTTCATTAATCAGATTGCAATTGTTTCAATGGCAATTATGATTTTAAAAATAAATCACAGACACAAATGCAAACTTACCAAGTAGTTATCGATATACGATTAATGTGATTTTTTTGTAAAAATAATATACTTGACGAGTTCTATATATTGAATGATTTAAATTATTGAGATGAGACCGGAGTTAGACCCATCATGGCCCAACAATATTTCTGGACTGGAGAAGAGCTAGACCCATTCTAAAAATTGTTCTTGAGCTGAGGCTAAGTCAGCAACGTATTAATATCAAGTGTCCCTTTTTCCTCAAAACACAGATGGTAGGTAACAATTGGATTACATTTATAAAAAAAAAAAAAATTATTCGTTCATGCTCTAAATTAAAAATTATATATTTTAAAAAACCAAAATAAACAACATGGCCGTACATGATAGTTTATCCTAAAGAAAAATGATTTAGACCTGTAAAAAGAGAGCTCTAATGGAGCATTAATTTGTCTTTTTCTTCCCCAGATTTTGTCTTTTACCTCACTATTTTTTTTTATTTATTTATTTTTATTTTATTTTATTTTATGTGGCCAGCTCATTAGAGCTGCACTGTAGCAGCTCTAATTAGAGCTCTGCAGCACTGCCGCTATCTTAAAATTATGTACGAAAACAAATTTGACATGTACAATTATTTGTTCAAATCATCAAGCATTAACCATCAAAGTACCAAAACATTCTAAATATTTCAAAGGTTAAGTAAAAAACCCAATTTTTGAAAATAAACATATTTTAAATCAAAGATTTCAAACTCAAATCCACCCAAACTTCCCATACTACAACATAATCAAACTAAATCTTAAAAGATTAGAGTTAACAGAACTCCATACCTCAAGAAGGTGAGCAAACAACGAAGACCAAAGCACGAACTCTGACAAAATCGCAATCCAATCGGTCAAGAGGAAGATCCTCACTCCTTCTTCACTAATCATGCATGATCTAAGGTGGATCCTTGGTATAATAAGGTGAAATCAAAGGTTTTGTGGCTAGGATTTTTGAACATGAAGAGGGGAGGGAGATAAAAGAGAGAAGAATGAGAGAAAATTAGCAAAAAGTGGCTTTTATACTGGCTGATCCCAAACAGACCACTTGCAGACAACTTCCTATGGTCGAGCGAACAACACAAGGCCACAAACACCTGGGACAATCCCGTGTCCCAACCCGAGAGAATACAATGGGTCAACCCCAAACCAGGCCACTACAGAATAGGTACCCATTTGTCCTTTTGGCTAGTAGCTGGTAAAGTGTGGTGTTTAGATGGTGCTTAGTGATGGTCACTGACAAATGAATATACCTTGAGAGGATTTCATTGGAATGTAATGAAATGAATTGAGAATTGAGGTTTCTTACTAAACACTTTGAGAATTTACAAAATTTGAAAAGACATTGTTATTGATAGAAAATGAATTTGAGCATCCTATATATGTGTAGTATCATTATCAAATGCTTTTGTGAATACGTATTAGTAGACATAAAGAATTTTCTATTGGACCATATGTTTACCTTACGTTGTCAATAAATTTTTAGGTGTTGAGAACGTGCCAGGACCTTGAGTTGACATCGAATGTATGCATGAGCTAGAGATAGCTCCATTAATTGTTGGCCTATATGGTCTTTATATTTTGTAGGTCGCGTGCTTATATTTTTGCTAAGGGTTACACATTTTTTTATATAAGCCTAAACGAATCTCTTTTGTAAGAATATTGATATTTTTTAATTTATTGTAGATTCATTCCATATAGAATATAGGATGTATGTAATAAATATGTTTCATGTATTAAATGATACACATATACATGGAGAATGATATTTTATTTTCAGTATCCATTGTCTTTCCTTTATTGTGCAGGAACATATATATATATTAGTTTAGATGTCGAAAATCCAAGGGGTGACAATATTTATCCACATGTCACTTATCTGTCCATGTAATCTGTCTATCTGTCCATATCACCACCACCACTAGTCGCCACCATCGGCAGCATTTTCGACCATTTTTCTAGCAATTTTTCCAACGTTGGAGGTGGTCTGGTAGTGATCTAGTATCAGGGTGATAAATTAGAAAACAAATTTCATCAAAACAATAATTTGTTCTTCTCACCAAATAATTTCATTAATCATGTCCTTATTTTCATAAAAAAGTGAATCACAAATTGCATTTGTTAACTACACATCATTCAATCACTATTTCTCTCACACTCATGTATTCAATTACAAAATAAAAACTACAAATCATCCCAAACTATAAAACTCCAATTACAAAATTATAAAACTATTTTCAAAACATACAACTAAACAAATTGCAAATTAATGAAATTGTTTGGTGACTTTTTCATGGAAATAAGGACATAATTAATGAAATTGTTTGGAAGCACATAGAATCATTCATCAATTTCATTAATCAGATTGCAATTGTTTCAATGGCAATTATGATTTTAAAAATAAATCGCAGACACAAATGCAAACTGACCAACTAGTTTTCGATATCCGATTAATGTGATTTTTTGTAAAAATAATATACTTGACGAGTTCTACATATTGAATGATTTAAATTATCGAGATGAGACCGGAGTTAGACCCATCATGGCCCAACAATATTTCTGGACTGGAGAAGAGCTAGACCCATTCTAAAAATTGTTCTTGAGCTGAGGCTAAGTCAGCAACGTATTAATATCAAGTGTCCCTTTTTCCTCAAAACACAGATGGTAGGTAACAATTGGATTACATTTATAAAAAAAAAAAAAATTATTCGTTCATGCTCTAAATTAAAAATTATATATTTTAAAAAACCAAAATAAACAACATGGCCGTACATGATAGTTTATCCTAAAGAAAAATGAATTAGACCTCCAAAAAGAGAGCTCCAATGGAGCATTAATTTGTCTTTTTCTTCCCCAGATTTTGTCTTTTACCTCACTGTTTTTTTTTTATTTATTATTATTATATGTGGCCAGCTCGTAGCAACTCTAATTAGAGCTGCACTGTAGCAACTCTAATTAGAGCTGCACTAATTAGAGCTCTGCAGCACTGCCGTTATCCTAAAATTATGTACGAAAACAAATTTGACATGTACAATTATTTGTCATTGTTTTTATATGGTTAAAATATAATTATTTGTCATTATCACCAAGAAACTAGAATACACGAATTTATGAAAAATGCTTTGAAACTCTAATTTTTGAGCTCTAAATATAGCTATAATGAATTGACAGTAGGCTCCACCCACAGTGATGTAATGTCTTAGTCTTGATTTGTTTTTATTTTATTTTATTTATTCATTGCCATGCCATTAGTGTTCTATTAGAGCACAAAAATTAATAGTCTAAATCATTGCTGCGAATTTATTTGCGAAAAATGCTTGGGAGCACTAATTAGTGCTCCCACTAATTAGGTGACAGTGGGTCCCGCCATTAATGATGTGATGTTTTGGGCTTGGAGTTGTATTTTTTTTTTTTTACTTTTTTAATGCATTAGTGCTATTAGTGGTGATATTTTTAGTGAGATGAATCATTGTTGTTTATTTGCCAACATATTAGCAAGAAATTAAGGTCAAGTTTGGCAAGTTAAAAAAAAAGTCAAAAAGTTAAAAAGTTATCACTATTCACCAAAATTTAAAAATTACGGCTACACAACTCCTAATTCTAATTTTCCCTTACATACTAATTTATACAATTTTTTAATACACATTTTTTCATAAAAAGTCAAAAATTCAACCCAAACATTCATATTTTTTTCTTCATTTTTTTAATTTAAAAAGATAAAAATTACACTTATTTAGAACACTCCAAACAACATCTAAGAAAGAAAGCGAAAATGAAAAAAAGAAAAAGGAACAGTTAGAAAATTCTATTTCACACAATACAACATTTGCATTTTCCTAATAGGTCTGGCTTCCCTCCAATCTAAGCCTACCACAGGTTCCGTTTCAATAATCTGAACCGTGAATGTATAAAACTTGTTAAGTACTATATACCTATAAAAAATCACATTGATCGGATATCAAAGCTATCTGATCAAATCACTTTTGTATTAAAAAAATTGGACGGTGAACAAATTAACAGCTGACAAAAAATTATTTTGATCAGATAGCTATCGATATCCGATCAACGTGATTTTTTATAGGCATATAGTACTCGACGATTTCTATATATTCAACGGTTCAGATTATCAAAACGAGACTCATGATGGGCCTCCACCGACCCAACAGCACGGTCAGTCCGATCCCGTATTGGACAGAAGCCATACCCATATGATAATATGTCTTTTTATTTGTACGACTTACGAATTAATTATGAAAATGACCTAAGTATTATATGTTTTAAAATTTGAAGAGAAGTCGCAATAATTATATTAAAAATGTGAGACTATCTGTATTTTCTGTAAAGTTTAGAGGACGTAAGCGTAATTTAACCAAATTTCATGTTTCAAAACATCCCTATTAATAATTGCTTCCCAATTGAACACATACATGGCTTAAAAAATGGCACACTTGCTTCTGATTTTGCTGCTTTCTACTTTGATAATTGCTTGTTCAAGCCTGGTACTCAGTCACTCTGTGGTTGAGTCTCTCCCAGGATTTGAAGGACCCCTTCCCTTTGAACTTGAAACCGGGTGGGTGGGTCAACTCAGCATACTTGATTCATCTTCATCTTCTTCTTCTTCTTCTTCTTCTTCTTCTCTCTTTGTTCATGAATATACATGTATGTGTGTAATGATTCAGGTATGTGGGTGTGGATGAATCAGAGGATGTACAGCTTTTTTACTACTTTGTTAAGTCTGAGTCCAACCCGAAAGAGGACCCTCTGATCCTTTGGTTGACAGGAGGCCCCGGCTGCTCTGCCTTCTCTGCTTTCATTTATGAAATAGGTAATCTTTCTTCTCCATGCTCACTTTCTCTCTCCTCAAATTCTTCTATTTCATATTTCAGAACAATAGTGATTGAATTTTGCATCGAGATTCTCACATAATTCACTAAGCCCTTTACATTGGTTATGAACAAAAACCTAAAGATCTTCTTTTCTCACTTCAGTAGGATCGATTTTGCACATGTTCTCAAAACATGTTTTTATTTGATTTGAACACTTTTCTTCTTCTTCTTCTTCTTCTACTACATTTTTTATTTATTTATTTATTTTTATTATTATTTTTATTTTTTATGAAAAACCGTTTTAACGGACATTTAAGACATGTATGAAATTTTTACTTGAGTGAATAATCGAGCGAAGCTTTTAATCTTGATGCAGGGGACTGAGTGAATGAGTCAAATTATCAAAATAGCCTCACACAATAAAATTCACCATTACAATCCGATTTTGATAACAAAAATAATTAATACAATATCTTATGTCTAATTGATTTGAACTGTTGATTTATTGACAATTTATAATGGGTTAACTAATTTGCAGGTCCACTATATTTCGAGGTCAAGCAGAATGATGGGAGTTTGCCGACTTTAGTTTTGAATCCAAACTCATGGACGAAGGTAGATAGAATACAAGAAGGCTGAGACTATTATTGTCAGGCTAATTTTATATGCTGTTAAGAGCAACTATATATAACTATCTGAAGCATTAAAATATTATATTTTGCCTTGACAGCAACCATAGTTTGTTTAACAATTGGCCTATTTTGTAAGAAATTGTGTGACTACATGTGCATATACAGATTAGGGATGAGTTTCTCTTCAGTAAACCAAACATCTAGTCTAACAATCTGTGACTACACATTGTTGTTGGGATCATAGGATCCACCATGTGTCCTACTTTGGTGATATATTCATATCGTGGTTTTATCACTCCAAAATAATAATAATAAAAAATAAATAAATAAATAAATCTAATTGATTGATTGATTATAACCATATAATATTTATCTTTAAAAGAATAAAAGGTTTACTTTGCCGTCTATTTGTTATTTTAGAAAAATTACAAATACACCTCTTGAAATTTGTTTAAAATACAGATTATTCCTGTGGTTATGAAAAATTACAAATATTCCATTGTCAAAAAATTTTATTTAACAGAATAAACAGAAATTGAAATTTCTAATTGATTTCCTATACAACAACAAAATTATCTAAATTGTTAATTGAAACATATTTCTGATATCATTAAAAATGATCAATTATAATTTATTAATAAAATGAGTCATTTATTATATAATTAGAAACTTGATAGCATGGAATGTAATTTTCAGAATCATAATATTTCAAGAAAACCTCAAGGGATATATTTGTAATTTACCCTATTATTTATTTTTTAAAGTCAATCATATGGCTACAAATTTTTGATTGTTATTATTATATAAATAATCTACACGTATGGTCCCACACAAAAATTTGTTTAGATCTTCAAGTTATTGTTATTATTATTTTACTAGTCCTCTGACAAAAAATTGGACTGCATGCCCAATTGACTGAAGAAAGCCAATCTTCTCTGGCGATGTTAAATAACGGTGATGTTAAATATCAGGTGGCGAGCATACTCTTTGTAGATTTGCCTGTTGGTACTGGATTCTCCTATGGAACTACCTCTCTTGCTTCTAAATCTACCGATTTGCAATCATGTGACCAAGCTTATGAATTTCTCAAGAAGGTAATTTGTTAACTCTCCAACAAAAGCAACAAGAAACAATGCTTAAGAGTAGATTTTGGTAGTAAATGGACAATTGTTCATAGCATTAGACAGTTGTACACAATTTCATAAAATAATTTTTTTTTAAATAGTAGATTTTGTTTATTTTTGTATCCATTTGGCATCAATAGTAGATTTTGTTTATTTTTGTATCCATTTATCAATTATTTTTATAAATAAAAAAAAACATTTTGCAGTGGTTGATTGATCATTCAGAGTTTTTCTCGAACCCTATTTATGTGGGTGGAGACTCATACACTGGCATTACGGTTCCAATAATCGTTCAACTAATATCAAATGGTAAGAAACTATCAGGTCAGTGAAAATTTAGGAAAATTAGGTTTTTATCTTGGTCCAATTTTAAAATTTGTCTCTAGCATCCTTCATGATGTTAGTTTGAGTCATAAATTAATCTCTTTAAAAATAGAGTAAAACTGCATATATCTTGTGCTCTTTAGAAAATACTCTACTAGATAGAAGTCTCCTGCTCTACCAGGAGTCCCATACATTGATCCCATTTCTACATATATTACCTTTTTGTGCCAAATTGGTCCTCTTCCCAAGTGGTTAACTCTTTAAAATTAGGGAAAAAACAAGATAGAAACCCCCCCTTCCCCTCTAAGTTGGACTAATAAAAAATGAAATAAACTTCTTTAATCGATGATAAACTTAGTATTTACTTTTTTCTTCTCTCTTTTCCTTTCTTTTTTTTTTCTTTTTTTTTTCTTTTTTGTTTTTTGTTCTTTTTGTTGTTGTTGTTGTTGTTGTTGTGGTTGTTGTTGTTGTTGTTGTTTTTTTTTTATTTTTTTTATTTTTTATTTTTTTTATTGGCAAAAGAAAGCAACTTTATTGATGTAAGAATGAAGTACAAAGTGTAAAACACATTACATCAAAAAAGGAAAGGGAAGTGCAAACGCATCACAATATGCTAAATCATCCCAACTAGGTTGGCACCAAAAAGCCCATCCTATCATTTGCTAGCACCCCCAGACTTGGAGAGAAATGAACAAGAAAGCAAACCAAAACCACACCAGTAGAACACAACCTATTCCAACACAGACCAAAAACAACCACCCAAGCAGACAGAACAAAATAGCTCAACAGAACAGACCAAGAACAGAACCGAAGCATAGCTGAGCAGCTAAGAGGCAAACACCCAAAGAAACCAACAGCCATCACAGCAGCAACCCTGCTCAGATTCCAGTGAGCAGTAACTCAACTAAATAAGCTAATTAATCAAACTGACTCCAGCAGCCTACTCAAATTGACCACCTAGCAGAACAGAATACAAGTCTTTAAACATTTGAGATTCACTTCCCTGCCAAAAATAATTCTGTAGCCTCACCACAATACAAGTCACACCAAGCCAGACTTAACGCAATATATAGCAGCATCAAACATTTGAGATTTACTTCCCTGCCTAAAATCATACTGAGCCAATACTGAACCAAATAAATAGAGGAACTAGCATAACTGAGCAATGCAGACCAACAAATTAGAACCTGAAACCATAACAGGATAAATCCAGAACCAAGCTAAAGTAGTCCCACACATCAAAGCCAGTAGTAGAAACAAAATGACAGCAGAGGAAGACCCAAGAACAACGGTAGAAACAAAAGGGGCAACAGAACTCAGCTAATTAAGCTATTTAATCAAATTAACTCCAACTTGCAGTAACTCAACAGCCTACTCAAATTGACCACCCAGCAGTAGCCACCCCTGCATCAGCTCTATAGCAATAGCAACATCAAACTAGTTTCAGCTCTGTAGTAAGAATAGAATACAAACCTCACCAAACCAGACTTGATACATTATATAGCAGCATCAAACATCAGTAACATACAACTCAGTAAACTAAATAATGAGATTCACTCCCCTGTCTGAAATAATATTAAACCAATAATGAACCGAATAGATAGAGGAACCATCACAACTGAGCAAAACAGACCAACTGTGTACTACACACAGCTTCTAACTTGATGGAGATTAAAGACATACTCATCCATTGTGTACCATTGCCCAACTGAGTGAGTTTTTAGCCAAAGGGCCACTCTTAACTTTAATAAGCTTAGAGAGATCTTCACAGGTAGGTTGCAGCCCATTGAATAGATAGTCATTCCTACACTTCCAGAGGGACCATAGACCAACAATCAGGATTGATCTCCAAATTTGTTTTTCCTTTTTTCTAACCTTCCAGCCCAACCACCATTGCATTAACATGACCACTGAGCTAGGGGAAACCCAGTGCAAACCCCACCCCTTAATTATATTGGACCAAACTTTCCAAGCAAAGGGGTACAACAGCTGCACATGATTAGTTGATTCAATCTCAGTTTGACAGAACACACAGTCAGGGCTAACTGCTGCACTAAGAATGCCAAGTTTATGTAAGTAGTCAGAAGACTTTATCCTCCCTTTCCAAGGCAACCAAGAGAAGAACTGGGCTTTAGGACGGGAGGGGTTGTGCCAGATCAGTTCAGGAATTTCCAAATTAGGACCACAAAAAGATTCACACCATTTAGTAGCACTTTTGACAGTAAACATACATGAGGATCAGATTTCCACCATAACATATCTATCGATTCCAATCTCAAAGAAGGGCCCTCACCTAAAACAGCCCATAATCTCTGTAGTTCATATTCTTCCCATGCTAATAAGGGTCATTTGAAGCTAAGATCCCAATTCTTGTGTTGACTAATCTGAGTCCACTGTAATTTCAAAGTGATACCTCTATCCTCTGATAAATAGAAGAGTCTAGGGAATTGGGATTTCAAGCACATGGTTCCTATCCAATTATCAATCCAGAAGCGGGACTTCAAGCACATGGTTCCTATCCAATTATCAACCCAGAAGCTGATTCTTTCCCCATTACCAATCTTGATTTCAACATTTCCCAAATAATAAATGAACAAGATGCTATTAGAATCACTAGCAGATATAATGTCACTCTATACTCTTGAGATATTAGTTGCCTTCACATGGAATGGAAACCATGTACCCCCTTCTGACCTATACTTGCTACATATGACCTGCCTCCATAATGAACTGTCTTCCTTCCTAAACCTACACCACCACTTAGCAAGAAGGCTATTATTCAATAAACTTAGGTTTTTTATTCCCAGCCTACCTTGCTTCTTATCCATGGTTAAATCCTTCCATTTTACTTAATGAACTTTCCTTCTCACATCTAAATCACCCCACAAAAAAGCTGCTTGTATCTTGTCTAGCTCTTTTGCCACACCTCTAGGCAGCCTAAAAAGAGACATGTAGTATATAGGTAGTGAAGAGAGGATAGATTTGATTAGTGTTACTCTGCCAGCAAAAGACAATAACCTCATCTTCTAACCTGACAGTTTCTTCTTGAAATTATCCACCACAGGCTTCCATGTTGCCCTCATAGATGGGTTGGCCCCTAATGGCAATCCAAGATACTTCAATGAAAGCTTTTGATATGTACAGTTCAGCCTTGAAGCAAAAATTTTCACACTCCTCTGACAACCCTACTCCACAAACCCCACTCTTCTGAAAATTGATCTTCAAACCAGAAATGATCTCAAAGCATCGAAGTATTCTCTTAACAGTTAGCACTTCAGACCATTCAGCTTCACAGAAGATAATTGTGTCATCCATGAATTGGAGATGGGATATGTTGATGGCATTTGACCCAATGATTACTCCTTTGATCAAGCCCAGCTCTTTTGCTCTTGCAAGAAGTAGGTTCAAACCCTCAGCCACCACATTAACTAGGAAAGGTGATAATGGATCACCTTGCCTAAGCCCTTTTTGGGGGCAGAATTCAGGTGTGGGTGACCCATTAACCAACACATAAATTTTTGTTGAGGAAATATAGGTATGAATCCACTTCACCCACTTATCACCAAACCCAAAATTTGATAGCATTTGGAGGAGATAGTTCCAATTGATAGTGTCATATGCTTTTTGGGAATCCAATATTAAAATCAGGCCCTTTCTTCTTGATTTTTCCACCAATCCACTACCTCATTAGCTATTAGGACACCATCCAGGATGTTCCTACCCTTTAGAAATGCAGATTGAGCTGTATCTATAATAACAAGAAGCACTTTTTTCAACTTATTAGCAAGCACCTTAGATAGAATTTTGTAAATGGAATTTATAAGACTAATAGGCCTGTAGTCTTGAATTCCTAGGGGATTGTCTTTTTTAGGGACCAATGTAATAAAGGAGCTATTTAAGCCCCCCACCAAGCTACTGTTAACAAAATATTCCTTTATAAACATGACGATATCATTATTCATAAATTTCCACTCTTTTTTATAGCAAGTCATGTTAAACCCATCTGGCTTTGGTGCCTTATTCCCATCACAGTCTGCCACTGCTGCCCAAATTTTTTGTTTAAAAAATTCCACATCCAAGCTTTTGAAATGATGGCTCTGTGCAATCACATTAAAAGGGCCCAAAAGCTTAGGTCTATACTTTCATTGCTCATAAAAGATTAACCTGAAGTGATCATACACAGTATGTTTAACCTCTAAAGGTTCCTTCACTAATTCCCCATTCACTAACATGGAATCTATGGCATTGGTGTTCTGCCGATTAGTAGCTATGATGTTGAAAATTTTTGTATTTTTATCATCCTTAAGTTCCAGTTCAACCTTGACTTCTGTAGCCAAATTCTTTCCATTATTTATCTGAGTTTCCACACTTCACCCCACACCTCTCTTCTCCTTTTACCTTCATCCTCATCCAAATCTCTATTCTTAGCAATGAGATCTATGGCATGTAAGTTCTCTTCAGCTTGCTTTAGGTTAGAATCTATATTTTCGAACACTTTAGAGTTCCACTGCCTTAGAGATTGTTTAAGTGCTTGCAACTTGATCTTCAGTTTGTACCCTGCCCAACCATCCACCTGAGTACCCTCCCACACTTTCTTTACTTCATTTAGAAAAGAGGGATGAGATGCCCAAGCATTGATCAATCTAAAAGGCTTTGGTCCCCAGTTTTTGGCATCTTCCATTAGAATAATTGGACAGTGATCTGAGATGGATCTAGGGAGACCCCAAAGTTTCAACCTAAACCAGACCAACCATTCTGGCCCAACAAGGAACCTGTCCAACCTGCTCCATCTCTCACTTTCCAATGAATTACACCAAGTAAATTTTCTTCCCAACATAGGAAAATCGATCAGTTCCAGACTACTTATCAAATTACAAAAATCTGTCATTCCCTTATCCCTTCTTACACAACCCTTCCTTTCGTTTATTGATTTGATTTCATTAAAGTCTCCCCCTATACACCATGGTTTGGGGAAAACAACCTTAAGATGGACCAAAAAGACCCATAAGCTTCTTCTAGCACTTACATCATTAGGTGCATACACATTCACAATCACACAATCCAAGCAATTAAATAAGGTACCTGATAGTATGATAAAGCTCCTATTGTAGCAACAGTTAGCTGGAGAAAACACTTTAGGCTTTCACATACATAACAGGTTTGCAGCACTCTACAAACTGATCTGAAATGTTTGCCCTTTTTGTTTCTTGTAACATCACCATATCCACTTTTCTTTCTTTGATAATTGCTTTGAGTCTTCTCTTTTTCTCAAGCCTACCAAGCCCTCTAATAGTCCAAGAAAGAAGCTTCATAAGAACTTACTATTTACTCTTGAACAACCCATGATGCTATTCTAAGCCCCTGCACCATCACTCATATCAGTAGCCTGTTCCATGTCATGCTCCTCCATTTCAATTATTTTCCTTATAACTTCATCATCTTTACCTTCAAAATCAATGCCCAGACTTTTCCCAAATCAAATTGTATCTTGAGCCTTCTTTATTAACAGATCATGTTTGCTTGATCGACTACAATGAGATAGTGAAGAAGAAATTGCAACTGCAACTGCTTTAAAAATGGCCGCTCTTTGAAACCCCATTTTCATCACTATTCTCCTCTGATTTTTCCGACCCTTTCTTTTACTTTCCTTGCCTTCTATGCGCTTGCTAGATGCAATATCTTGATTGCTTTGGCTATTTCCTTTAGCACTGTCTTCAGCAATGCCTTTGCCATTCTCCACTTAGGCTTGAACATGTGTTGGATCCAGATGCTCAGCAAACATGCTACAACTAAGACCCAACCCATTTGACATGGACTAATCCCTGTTAAGTTCATTCAGCAGGCCATCAAAATGGGCTTGATCAAAGACTACTTCTAAGTTAATACTGGGTTTTGGAGGCCCATTTCCACTTAAACTTCTCATAAGCCCATCAGGGCCCAAGCCACTTTTAACTCTTTCACTTTCTGAAACTACTCTATGCCCTTTCTTCTTAACTGCTGCCAACAGTCCACCTTGGCCCATATTGACCTCATCAATTCGACTTTTACTAGCAATATGCTCAACTGAGGTGTTAAGCAAGCTTCCCTTGAGCCTCGTGCACTGACCCTCTTCTACTCTAGGTCCCATAATGCTGTAGGTCTCATTAACTATAGAGACGGCAAAAAGGCTAGTATCTGCTCCCTCAGGCTCCGCCTCCATTCTGACATTACCATTTGCAGCTTGTGGCACACTCTTTTCATAGGCCACCCCATCCCCTTGTTGCATCCCATCATTTACATCTTCCTCCCATCCTCTGTAACAGTTTGAAAGTTGATCACCGCTGGTGGTGCCGTTACCCGAAGCATCCCTCACCTTGTTGCCATGACCTGGGACATTGACCAAGTTAGAACCAAGATCTTCACTCACTCTGATTGAGTGTATATGTCCTCTACAGTCCAGGTTAACTGCATTGTTGATCATCTCCATACGTGGTGTAAGAATCCTGAGTTGACCACATGCCATGGATGACATTTTGAGGGTGCTCTCATTAATGTTCATGACCTTACCCTAGATTTTCCCAATCTTGATGAAGGTAGCCGTGTTCCAAAGATGAGGTAGTAGGCCATAACAATTCAGAACCACGTATCTTTCTTGCTCAAGCTTCAGTCCCCTTCTCCATTCCACCATCAATTCACACCATTTGTAGATCCAATCTTTAAGGTTCTTCATGCCTATGGTTTTGGTGAAGAAAATACTAAGTATGCAACTCTCCCACCACCATCCTTCACTTGCACATTAGACATGCCTCTGGTTTGCAGTTCCTTTTTAAGATTAGAACATTGATGGCGAGACTAGAGTTTTACTAACACACTACCATACAACCAACCATTTCCATACTCCACAACATTCACTGAGATAGATTTCCCATTTGTTACTTTACCTCCCATTACAGCTTCTGCATAAGACTTCCCTTTTGTGCTGATTTCTTCCACTCTCATCCACTTTTTTCCTATTTCCACTAGTGGTAGATGATGAACATCAGCTTGTGGTTTGACTTTGCTTATATTCTTTTTTTTTTTTAAAATTAGCTCGCTTAACCTTCAAAGCTTTGTCATCACACCAGGTATCGTGTGCTTTTTGGATTGCCATTTCAGTTGCAACCGGGCAATCATACCGAACAAAATCAAACTAGGTTCTTGTTGAGTGCCTCCTCTTGCTAGGTATGTAGACATCAATGGCTACCCCAAAGTTTGGGAACAAATCATATAACCCTTTTGGATGCATTGAGTATGGCAGATTGTCGACAAAAACATTGTGTACTTCACCCGTTGAGTTTGATCTACCACTAATATGCCTCCTCCGAAAGACTGGTCTCCATCCTCCCAATTTTACCCCACGTTGCTCCATTTCCTCTTAATAATTACTCAACTGTGGTTGTTGTTGTTGTTGTTATTGTTGTTGTTGTTATTTTACTGTCTCCACAAAAGTGGGTGTAAATGAGCAATAGAAGCTACAGGAGCCTGTGAGCGGTGTGCTAGGACTAAGTTTAGTCCGATCTGATAAATATTGCTAATTTCTTCTAAAGGGAATATGTGAGGTCCAGGGATAAAAATCCTCTTGGCTTATTTGTTGCGTCAATGAATAAGACTTAGAATCTCCTAAGCGCTTGAAGTTGGGAGAGAACACAATAAGAATTTTATCACATCCAAACAAATTAAGGTGCAATAATTGGGACAAACTAAGCTAACTTTTGAAATAGAAATGAAAAATATGGTAAGCTAATGAATTTACTCGTAATCTAATGTTGAAATGACATTGAGTCTTGAGAGATAACTGCTAAGTATTTTCTGAATTGATTGGATGATTGATTAGGGGGTTTTTCCATCTTGAAATGGCCTTCATATGCTTGACCTTCTAGCTATTTTGAGCTAGCTCCTAATATATCCCTCAACTACTTCTGGTTAGTGGTTTTCTAGAACACCTCCTATAGTGGCAAGTGTCCCTCGACAACCATATTTCCCAAATATCTCTAATGTATCCCTCAAGAAATGTAGGTGATTGCCTCATTTTCTCCTAGTCGTTGGACCAAGTAGTAGGGGGTCTTGAATTTAAATGGATGGGTGCTAAGGGTGCTCGTGGATCGGGTTGGGTTGGGTGCCTCTTGTTCTCCATCCGTCCGTACTTAGGTGGATTATAAAAAATCAATTCGCATTCATCTACTTAGTTAGTAGATATGGATTGAGCAGGCTGTGTGGATTGGTGGGTGGATGCGAATCTATTTGGCGGTTTGGGCTTTATTGTTATATATATATTTGAACTATTTTAGAGTAATTTTTTACTATTTTGGGCTTTATTTGAGTCCAAAATTTTTAAAGGCCAAACTTTCATATTTTATAAGTAGCTAATATCATTACTAATAAAATGTCATTTTTTTTAACATACAAATCAGGAAAACATAACATCATTTTCATAATGAGGGTTGATGGATCGAGTTGGCTCGAGTGGTCTCTCATCTATCATCCATCCGAACATAGGCGGATTAGAAAAATCTACATCCGCATTTGCCTGCCCATACTATCAAAACCACTTAAAAGTGAATGGATTGGGTTGGATCGAGTTAGTTTTGATGGATCAACCTAGTCAATGAATACCCCCAATGGGTGCCACATGTCCATATCTCTAGTCCATATCCCAAGATGATAGCTCCATGGTGGTTAATAATGGTTAATTAACATCTCCTTGAAAATAGGTACATGATTTTCTTGAGATAATGAGTCAATACCTCAACATATTAATAGGATACTTGATAAAATTACCAAGCACCTTCACTCTCATGGGTCTCTCACGCAGCATATCACCCCTTGATTTGGATGTTACTCTGGGAAAAACACCTTAGAGATAACTTTATGAAACTTTACAAATCTATTAAGTGATTAAAATTACCATGTACATTCGTTTATTTGAATAATCAATGCCATGTGGTATCATCTAATAGGGCGGTCATTTTTGGTTCAAACACTTACATATATATTTTCATTTTCTAAATATATAAAGTATTCATGTTAAATACTTGACATATGAATATGTGGGTAAGGAAATGATCGTTTGACATTATTTTGGACTCAATGTTACTATGGTAAGTCACAATAGTAACTATTGTGAGCTTCCGTGAAACATTATTCTAGACCTATTTTGATAATCCAAACTATTCATATTGCAAGGTTTGTCGAACATATCATCCATGTAAAAAATTAGGTTAATCAAATATCTGTAACCCTATCGAGTTCTCATTATTTTTAAAAACATTATCAAAATCATGCTAGCCATTTATTTTTTTACAAACAAAATTGTGATCTTGTTAAGGGACTAAATATCCGACTAACATGATTCTTTTCATAAACAATCTACTTGACAGACCTTGCAATATAAACATTTGGACTATCCAAATAAGCTTAGGAAAAGTCACCACACATGTCACAACTGCTGCTGATATGGCTTATTTACAACAGTAACCCTGGTTTCCATTATTTTACTTTGAAACATTAAAGAAGTAAATTAACAAATATGATCTTTTTTTGTTGTGCCCTCATGTCCTTGGATGTGTGATTAAATGAATTGGACACTTAAATACATATTCGCACTAAATATCCATATTTGATATAAATATATATGTTGAATATGTTATAATTAAATAAATAAATAACAAGCTTTTCAAAGTTGAAAGCAGGACTTGGTAGCAATTTGAAGAAGCAATGGATGAATCAAGTGCAACATTTTCCTAATCATTTGGCTAGGAGGACAATATTACCATAAAAAGTGAAGGAAAACTCTATTTGATCATGTTTCAAATGTACTAACTGTGTTGCAATGCAGGAAATGAAGTTGGCATCGAACCACTTATCAATCTCAAGGTTGGTAGCTCTTTATAGGGTAAATTACACCATTAGTCCTTATAATTTAAGTGAAGTGTCATTTTAGTCCCCATAGTTTCAATTTGAAGAATTTAGTCCCTACACTTTAATTTTGTTGCAATGTGATATCTTCGTTACTTACTGTTAAATTTGTAACTGGAAAAGACCATATGTAAAACTATTTGTACCAAAAATGACTACCCAACCGGATGATGCCACTTGGTGATCATCATTCAAATAAATGAATGTTCTTGGTAATTTTAGTAGATTCGACAAGTTTGATAAAACTACCCTTAAGGTGATTTTCTTGGAGGAATAGCCAAATCAGGAGGTGACACGTTGCACTAGTGATCCATGAAACTAAATGTTCTTGGTGGTTCTATCAAAATGCTTATCAGATAATGCTGGTGATTGTTTCCTATTTTATATGAATTAGTTAAGAGATATTCTTCTATTTAATATCTCGAGCAGAATGTGTTCCTAATATTTTAAGATATGGCTATTAACCATTATTTCATACCACAATAGAGCTATAATCTTGGGATTTGGTCTGGTGATTATGACATATGTTATTCATCCATCATATCTTGAGTCCCACTACCTATGATCCAACGGTAAGAAGTATGTGGTAGAAACTATTCTTCTTGCTAATTAGCAAATTTAGTAAATGTAAATTCAACACATGTTTGAAATATTTGGGCTTCAAGACTTGTTCATAGGACACATGGCAGCCATAGAGCCAACCTAGCATCCTACTAAGCAAAGTGGCCGAAAAAATTTAGGAGGTCGTTTGTAACTTTCAAAAGGCACCTAGCGGCTATAAAAGGCCATTTACAAGCTCAAGTTTAATGCATCGACACCAACTTAAATTAACAAAACACTTAACGACATCAATGTCAATTTAGCCTTAGTATTTACAATTAGTTCATCTTTAAGGCACCTATGCCATAGTTTAGTTGTTTGGCATTAGTGCCATTAACATCAGTGTCATTGTAGATTAGTTTTGTCATTTGTGGCTAACTTTTCTTATTTCAATTGTAATTTCAATCTATTGTAACTCAATTGCTTTTTATTTAAAATTGTTTTTGTCTCTTTGTGCATGTTCAATCCTTTTGAGTACATTGAAGTTGACAGTTTCTTGTTTGTATTTCCTCCTGCTAACTTTTCTTCCTATCTAATAACCCTTAGGAGATTTTAAGTCCTCTTCATTGAGGCGAGTAAAGGACTAGCAGGCTTTTATCCCCTTGGCCCTTACACAATCTCTTGATAAGAAATCAGATCCATTTTCACATAGGCAATACATTGCCTTGGCACACCCACATCCTAACTCTCCTTACTTAGCCAGTTTTTTTGCAAACATATTTTGCTATGTCCATTGCAACCCCTAAGGAATTTAAGGGGTAGAATGTGCCGATTTGTTATTATATCAATTCATTATCTTTAGTTAGAATTAGCAATTCGGCATTGTAAAGAAGAAGTGCATTGATGCGAGATGAGATTGACAACTTTAAAAATGAGATTTATCATATTGACTAGGTAAAATCTCAACTTATGCCCTTTATATTTTATATCTTCTATGGAAGAGTACAGTTGGGGGTACAAAGAAAAAGGCTGATTGACCTATGCAATTCATTAGCTCATGGATGAAATTGATCATTTGGAGATGAAACTCAATATTTTCGTTGTGATATAAACTATCTCCTTAAAGGCCTTCTACATGAAGTGTCATGTCACGCCCAGGATTTACAAAGTCCGGTCTACGTGAATAAATCCAAAACCGATAAATAAAATTGACAATAAGATATAATAAAATAACATCTCTCCTGCAAATGACTATTATAAAGTTAGACAATATATGAATTCATCCAATTTTATACACCCTACATTCAACATCTAAGTGGTATGAATGCTCTTTATATAGCACATACAATGATGTCATACATAATTGAAATGCCTGAAGGCTTACATCATATACAAAGGGTGTAACCCTTGCAAGAATGGTACGCGGCCAAATAAATGAACAAATGGCGCGCAGTCTACAAACAATGGAACTGCCCTACTCAGCTCCAATCACACTCTATTGTCTCATTCCAAATCTATACACGCAACACATCTAAAAAATATTTTCACCCATGTAGGGTAGCATAAAAGCCCAGTAGAGTATATTTCAAAAACTAAATATGCTCCATTAGCATATATAATCGTGATGCAATACATATATACATTATGTCAAATGCACTTTCAAAATTCCACTGATTCTCAACACAAAAACCCTTTCTTTCCAAGCTTCAAAACTTTCTATTTAATTAAAACATTTTTTGAAATCAAAACATCTGTTTGATTAAAACCCATTTCCAAAACAAATCCAGGTATCTCAATACCAACCAGCAAATACATTGCTAAATCGAAAGCAAATACATCACTAAACAAAAGCAAATACATTGCTAAACATTTTCTAAAACATCCTTTTCAAAACCAAACGATAATAAATAAAATGGGTAAATCTCTAGGGCTAGTGTTCATAATAGTAACTATACACATCACGGGATTTTCTGGATGGAATGGGCACCTACCACGCGGGTTTCTGGTCTTACACCAAGGACACATAGGCCAACTTTATTCGTCTCTAACAACTCCTTACAACTTTTCCACTATATTTACCCCTTTGTACAATACATGTGTTCCAAAATTGTCACGACCCGAACCCGCCCCCATGGGTTAAGGACGTAACCGGCCAGTAATCCTAAGATTACCTACGGCCTCAAACCAAAACAGACTTAACACATCAGAGTAAAGGGGGCCAAAAGGGAAGCAAAAATTTAAAACTTTGTCCATAGAGCCGTGCTTACATGCACATCAATAGACCATATCCAGTTACGTTAATAACCCACATCAAAAGTACAGTTTCACAAAATTCATTACAGACAGGATCATCTAAAGCGAGTCAACCTATGACGGACTATTTACAGATATACATAAAGTCCTTGCCGACAAGACAAAATATAATTACATAACACAAAAGGCAAGGGTAGGTCTCAAAAGTGAGACACAAGGCTGACTTCCTCAAAACTCGGATTTTCACTGGGGCTGGGTTTGGACTTCCCTTGGCTCACCTACAAACACATAAATGAGCGTGAGCGATAGCCCAGTGAATAATATCAAATGCAGAAATTACATAACAATGTAAAACAACATGTTCCAAACGGCCTTTGGCCCAATTCACATTTCTACTTAACATATATATATATTTATACAAAATTTAGATCAAGTGACTGTAGTTCCAACATATTGGCCTTTGGCCCATTCAGGTTTCCTTTCTTGTCAAAACGGCCTTCGGCCCATTCATTTATGTCAAAACGGCCTTCGGCCCATTCATTTCTGTCAAAATGGCCTTTAGCCCATTCATTCACGTCAAAACGGCCTCTAGCCCACTCATTCATGACAGAACGACCTTCGGTCCATTCATATAGGTCAAAACGACATTTGGCCCGCTCATTTACATCAAAACGACCTTTGGTCCATTCATTTACATCAAAACGACCTTTGGTCTATTCATTTGCATCAAAATGACCTTTGGTCCATTCATTTGCATCAAAATGACCTTCGGTCCATTCATTCTTATCAAAGCGACCTTTGGTCCATTCATTGATTCCTGTCAGACTTTTGTCCACAATCCCAATTAACAACTCATAAAGTTTATAAGGGAATAACAATTGGACATTGACAAACTTTCAAATATTGATATTACTCACAGTGATCGGCTTGTGGATTTGCCCTGGAGCTTGACCCTACACGTTTCATGAACACAAAAGGGTCATTAACAGTTCAATCCGTTCTTTAATTCACATATTCCTCTTTAGGCTTTATTATTATCTCATTAACTCATTTACAATGCTTAACATATGCCTAAGAGTGCTTGCAAGTGAAAGAGAACGGAAAACAGAACACAAAATGCAAAAACAGGATTTCAGAAAATAGGGTCCCCGCTCGAGCGTGGACTTCCCCGGTCGAGCGGACCCTTAGGTCTGCAAAAGTACTGGTTGCCTTCAATTCCAGCTCGAGAGTGAACTCGGCCGCTCGAGCGTACTGCCTGTCTACATAGCTCCCCGCTCGAGCATCAAATTCCCCCGCTCGAGCAGGAACCATGTCTGCAAAAAAAAAAATGCTGGGAGCTCATTTTCTCCGCTCGAGCGGCACTTCACCCGCTCGAGTGGACATCGAAAATCTGGGTTTTCCAGATTGAGTTCTTGAGCTTCATCTCAACATTCAAAGGTTCTAAATGCATGATTTCGGTCCAAACTTTGGAACTGCCCTACTCAGCTCCAATCACACTCTATTGTCTCATTCCAAATCTATACACGCAACACATCTAAAAAATATTTTCACCCATGTAGGGTAGCATAAAAGCCCAGTAGAGTATATTTCAAAAACTAAATATGCTCCATTAGCATATATAATCGTGATGCAATACATATATACATTATGTCAAATGCACTTTCAAAATTCCACTGATTCTCAACACAAAAACCCTTTCTTTCCAAGCTTCAAAACTTTCTATTTAATTAAAACATTTTTTGAAATCAAAACATCTGTTTGATTAAAACCCATTTCCAAAACAAATCCAGGTATCTCAATACCAACCAGCAAATACATTGCTAAATCGAAAGCAAATACATCACTAAACAAAAGCAAATACATTGCTAAACATTTTCTAAAAAATCCTTTTCAAAACCAAACGATAATAAATAAAATGGGTAAATCTCTAGGGCTAGTATTCATAATAGTAACTATACACATCACGGGATTTTCTGGATGGAATGGGCACCTACCACGCGGGTTTCTGGTCTTGCACCAAGGACACATAGGCCAACTTTATTCGTCTCTAACAACTCCTTACAACTTTACCACTATATTTACCCCTTTGTACAATACATGTGTTCCAAAATAATACTTTCAAAACCATACAAATGTTTTTAAAACATAATACAGACGTTTCAAAACAGCCTTTTCAAAACATACAGTTTTGAAGCGGTAAAATCAAACAGATATTCCTACGGTGAACAGATAGAAATTCAAAACCACATATTTTCACATAATGGCATACAAAACCATGCTAAACACATGACCATAACAACTTAAGGACCAATTAGCATAATACAGAACAGGGATGTCACAAAAATAATACTTTCAAAACCATACAAATGTTTTTAAAACATAATACAGACGTTTCGAAACAGCCTTTTCAAAACATACAGTTTTAAGTTCCAAATCTATGATATGCACCATGATGTGAATGGTTTCATAAATGTTTCTGTTTGCCTAATCTACATGCAATTTCTAACACATGACAATGCTATCTCTTCGTATGCCAAAAGAGTTACCTCTAATGTCATTATAATTAAAAGATAACAATATAGACACATAACCTAACTGTTCCAAAACCCGCACATTTCTCAACAACCCAAGATTTTCCAAAAGAGTAATGATACTCACTGTTTCCAAAATCCCACAACCATGTTCTTTCCATCTCTTTCCAACCAAACCATTTTCCAGAATGAACCTAACTCCCAAAAACAATATCATATAAGGGTTTTTCACAAATTGGGGCTTTCCCAATTTTAGAAATCCATATGCAATTTTGTATACCAAAAATAGCTTTAGTAGCAAAACTACAGCCCAACAACCCCTAATTTAACAAAACCCCAACCTACAAAACATAACTCCAAAATCAACCAAATGACCACAAAATCTATATCAAAATACGTCACAAATACACTACCGAACTGACATCGAGTTTAAGAAATAGACTAAACCTCTTAAAACGAAGAGGAGACAAGCTGGAAAAATCACCAACGACGAAAAGGCGATCTGCTCAGATTAAAAGGAAGCCCTTGTCAAGCTCTACATTTTGGTATACGAAACTAGGGGTCAATGGTGGGTAAAAATAGATGAAACCCAAGCTTGAAAAGCTTAAAGGGACGAAAATGACAGAAAGAAAGAGAGAGGAAGAAGATTGGACCAAGAAATACATTGGTTGAACTTTTCGAGTTCGGCCTGGGGGTTCAAAGAAGATTAGTTCAACAGCCAAAGCGGACCAGAGTTACATTAGTGACCCGCTGAGTAGTACAAATAAAGCGACAAGACACATATACACTTGGAGTCTTTTCTTCATCATTTGGCTTGAAGATTTGGAACTAGAGATCTTCATCAGCTTGAGGAAGCCTGGATTGGAGTTTGTGATTAGCTTGAGCCCAATCTCTGTTAGCTTTAGAGTTAATCCCTACTTCCATTTTATTTCATCTTTTATCTATTTTCCTCTTTTTTTGAAATCTTCTTGAGATGTTGAGATCGTTGTTGAGTTGTTGTTGATAAATTAGTTGGATCATCTCTTTCTCTATCCATTTTTGTAGTCATTTAGGCCCAGTACAGAGACTTTGGCCAAGTCCAACTTGTTTTTCTTTCTTTATTATGGGTTAGAAGCCCGTGCATAGCTTCTTCTATGGTAATGGTTTGATTCTCCTCTCTCGTCATCTATTTTTAAGGATTTGTGTAGTTTATACCCTTATTCATATGTTTGAGGGGTAGAATCCCTCCATTCTTATTAGAGTTTCCTTCATTTTATTGATTTATTGATTTTTGTTGCTATAAAAAGCCAGGCAAGGTTTCCTCTATAAGAATAAACTGAATCTCCTATCTCGTCACTTTTTTTTCTTCATGAATTTGGGTAGTTTATACCATTTTTCATGTGTTGGACGGTGAGAATCTCTCTATCCTCGTCAGAGCATTCTTTATTTTATCGTTTCATTGATTTTTGATGCTATAGAAGCCTAATCATGACTTTCTTCAGTGATAATAAGTTGATTCTCCCCTCTCCCTGCTCTTTTTCATGGATTTGGGTAGTTTATACCATTGTCCATGTGTTTGAGGAGTAGAACCTCCTCACTCTCGCTAAGGTGCTTGTTATTACTAAGATTTTTCTAGATTTAGTCGTCTTTATTATCTTGAGAAACCTAGGACAGTTTCTTCCACAAGGATAGGTTGGACCTATCCTCTCAAACCTCTTTTTCATGGATTCGGATAGGTCATAACCATGTGTGTTGGAATGGGTTTATTTTCTCTATACCCGCTCTGTTTCTCAATCTCTCTCTTTCTCTCTCTCTCTCTATATATATATCTCTTGTTTTAAGCTTATTTACTTTGCTTCGATTATTAAGTTGTCATCATGGTATTCACATGATTAAATTAGGATCATGCATCTGAGCTCGAACAATTATGTTTTGGTAAATATTGTTATGTGGTATACTTTCCTTAGTTCGCATGTCATCTTAGTTGTGATTGGGCTCGTAAGATTTATTCCATGTGTGTGTTTGCATTTTGTAGATTATCATATCTAGGATCTCACATCTTTTCTAACCCTTTGTTTTATGTCACACATAGCTGGAGTATCTGGTGAATCTTTTTTTATTCCATTGCATATCATCCCCTAGACTATGGTATCTAGGATCATGCATGGATTTCTGTGCCCTTACTTATGACATGGTGAAAGGATTACTAGGTGAGCCTTGCCCTTTCCTATTGAATCTTGTATGTGTTTGTTTCTTATTACGTCTAGCATACTGCCATGAGGCTATGTGTTTACGTGCTATATCTCTGTGATTGCTCATTGTATGGAGGCATCATTACCAAAATTGGAATGATTCTAATCTCTTCGCACACTAGTTATCTCACATTTCTATGAGTTTTCTACTTTCAAACCCTTTTCAAATTGCGAGAGATTGAACTATTCCAAAGTAGGTGATCCGATCTATACTTGCTTGCTCCACATAGTAAAGATAACACTAATAATTGGGTCATATGATCATATTGTGTTAATAATTTTCATATCAAGAACTAGTAGAGGCTAATATTTGATCGGGTGAGTGAGGGTGCTCAATTAATGACATTTCCCACTCATACCTAAATCTCGGACCGAATCCTTTAGTTATTATGGACAGTGGCCTTTAGCACGAGTCAAAGTTTCCTAGTTTTCCCTTATAGATTAGGTGGCGACTCTATGTCTCATGTTTGATTTACATTTAGCACTTTCATTTGATTAGTGGATTTTTATTGGATATGCTAAATCTAGGCCATTCACTCATATCTCACATTGCACGCCTGACCGATCCCATTCATCGTGAGAGAGACACAAGGCCGGTCGCCTGAGGAAGTGTACAACTGTCGGGACCCCTCTTTTTAGATCCCGACAGATCAAAAAGATTCTAGAAGTTGAAATCAATTAAACGTCTCCTCTTAATTGAACATAATAGAGGAAACATTAGAGGGGAACATTGTTTGTATCGAAAATGACTGCCAAATCGGAAGATGCCAACATTCAAATAAATGAATATTCATTGTAATTTAAGTAGATTTGGAAAGTTTGATGAAGCTACCCCTAAGATGATTTTCTTTTGTTCAAAATGTTAGCAACGCTTGACCAAGGGACCTCACCGCAACAAAATTAAGGGTATAAGGGCCAAATTGTTCAAATTAAAACTAGGGTTATTTACATGAAGACCCCTAAACTATTGAAAATATCATTTTGAGCCCCTAAGCTATAAAAGCATACAAATGGACCCTCTAAACTATTGAGAAACATAACTTTCCCCCTCCAAACTATAAAAGAGTACAAAATGGAACCCCTAACAGAAGGGGTAAAGTAAAAAACGCCAATAATTTAGGTGATCCATTTTATACTTTTATAATTTAGGGGGTAAAGTGATACTTGGCAATAGGGTAGGGGGTCCATTTGTGCATTTTATAGTTTAGGGGGTCAAAGAGGAGGTTTATAATAGTTTAGGAGGTCTCCATGTAAATAATCCTTCAAACTATAAGGACCAAACCAAAATAGTAAATAATCCTTCAAACTATAAGGACCAAACCAAAATAAAATTTCAATCAAACTAGAGGGACCAATCGTGTAATTTACCTTTTCAAAGTTTCTTTCTAACGCTTTACAAAGTTACAAAGTGTTTTTGTTGTGGTTTTGAAATGGTTTCAGGGATACTTACTTGGCAACCCATTAACAACTCCAGATGATAGAAATTATGCAATCCCATTTGCTCATGGAATGGGACTTATTTCAGATGAACTCTACGAGGTGCTTTACTACTTTGAAATGAATCCCTTCCCTCTCTTTCCAAATTCCACTCAAATATCATGTATAATGTTATTCCATTACCATGATAATAAATCACAATTGTCCCAAAAACTTATATGGTAAAAAATGCCCCCCCAATCACGTGTGGCCTCACACTACAACAAATAAAAGTTTTGGGAACTTTTTATTTATTTATTTTTAATCTTCAAAAGCTAAAATTTTGTTGCAAAAAATACTTGGAGACCAATTTCTGTGGTCGTGAGAATAGTTGCTAAAATGTCATCCCAAAGAGTCAAAAAAAGAATTTTAATTGTTGCTAGTAAATGCACTTTTAAGGATAAAAAATATAATAATATACTTTTGGCATCCAAAAATATTTCATCCCTGAAATGTAATTTTGTCTCTCAAGTAGTCTTTAAAACCTTAATTTGTTGCAATGAATTGTCACTAAAACTTGTATAGCTGCCGAACTCTCCCTAATCACGTGCGACCTCATTTCGTAAAACATAAGAATAGACAAAATAGGTTGAGTGTCCAATGACAAAGATAAGGAGAGAGACCATACTTGAATCCATGACCTCCTAAAAGCAATCTTCTTCTTTTTTTTTTCTTTTTATTCTTTTTTCAGTCATTGCAGAGAAGTTGTCAAGGAGAGTATTTTAATATAGATCCTAGTAATGCACGGTGTTTGCAGGATTATCAAGCTTACTCTCAGGTCAACAAACTGATATTTATGTTCTAGTCTGTTCTACAAACCTTTCCATTACCTTATTTTGTGCCTTACTTACATACTAAGCTAATGAAAATTCATTGTTTGCCTTTGTAGTGTATTGATGGACTTAACACATATCAAATTCTGGACCCATCGTGTGGTGTTGCTTCTCCAAAACCACAAGAATTGTTTAGTGAAAGAAGATCTGTCGATGAGAAAAGCATAGAGCTTGTTGTTGATCGACCATCGCCCTGTGATTCTAGTCTTGTAAGCCTTCCTAATTCCAATAATTCGGTCCCAATAGAGATTTAGCATGGTATATCAATTAAAAAAATTAAAAAATAGTGGCAATATGCCATGGCATTAAGAAAAACCAATGGATCAAATTTTGATATTCAATTGGATTTTTATAAGCAATCTTCTATTTCCTATTTAAAATTTTATAGCAATGCCAAATTATATTTCAATAGTTTGTTTTATGACTTTTTAAACATTAGAAGATGAGTTATCAATTTTATTTTTTTACTTTTCTCATCTTTAGTGAATTTATAAAAATAAAAAATAAAAATTAAAAAATATTTAAACTTTTATAGTCTAATCAACTAGAAGAACCAAAAAGTAAATAAATAAATAAATAAATTTGGAAAAAAAAGAAGTAGAAACAGTTCACTTTTAAAACTTTTTTTGGGTCTTCATTGAACTGTTTTTCATTTTCATTTTTTTATATTTTAATTTTTATATTATTCTACACTAGAGGAATCGGAAAAGTAAAAATTTCGATACAAATTTGAAAAAAAAATACTAAAAGATTAAACAATTTAGAAAACAAATTATGACCTTTTCAACTAGATGCCAAACATCTTAGTAAGGGAGGCCAAATTGAAGAACTTCAAAGAAAAAAAATAACTTTTGTCCATTGCATGGATGTGAGATGCCTGCGGGTCCCAAAACTGGCCTTATGGGTGTTGTTGGAACCATAAGCCTCTCACAACTGACATTAGACAACCTAATGCACTAAACATAGTCCTGTCCATCAAATATTTTTGAAGCTTAAAACATTATAGCAACTATTTGAATTAACTGGGTGCTCTAATGAGGCTACCATCGAAGTTTCTAAATTTTAGCATTGCTATTATTTATGCCAAGTTGGCACAAGCTTTGGTAGATTGCCAAAGTTTTGACATTACTATTAACAATTATATATATATATTTGTTAGAAATTGGGCGTCTATGTGGCATGATCTATGAACATTTTAAACCTGATTCATGTAAGTTTGAATTTGAATTCAAAACTTATTTAGATAACCACTCCTGATATCTATATCTATCATATCAACTGATATGGATAGATGATATATTTATCCTATATATTTGATATGACATATGGGATATGACATAATGAAACAACATATGTTTTTCCCATACTGACTCTCTCCCATTAGCAAACAATAATCAAGCTTTTTGCACTATGACGTGTGTGGGTGATACTCATATTGTGGTATCACTCCACTTCTGGGTTCGTTGTTCGCATTCTTGAAGCACATGATTTACCCATGAGATTTTTCGCTTCAGGTTCTATCACCTAAGGTATGATTTGAATTTTTTACCCACTGCATTATACTTTGATTTACATTGGTATCAAAGCCTTGTATGGGTATTTTCGTGCCTATTTTTAAAAATGTGTATAATTTTATATAAATATATACACGTTATATGCATGAAAATTAACTAAGGAGGAAGATGAAGTGTAGGGTTTCTGCACTTCCACTCTCATTAGATTGAGAGTGTAATACACCTCATTTTTATGTTCATTAAATGTCATTTTTAAGACCATAAATGTTTTTATTTTGGAAAATGGAGTCCGGTAGTACCAAAATTGGACCAGAAAACACCTTAGAAGGCGGTGTGTGAGCTGCACGTGCCATCTGACAACGTCAGCGCCGCCATGCGCGTGCCACGTGTGTGCCACGCGTTTCTACGCGCCATCACGCGCGCGCCAGCTGCGATGTCCACGCGCGCGCCGTGCATTGAGCCGCGCTCTAAGCCGCGCGTTGAGCCACCTCGTTTTTCTCTGCCGGCTTGGCTGGCTTGGCTGCTGATGTTAAGACACTATTTGTTTTTTTTTAATCCAGAATTGGTTTAAAGGGTCATAAATAATTCGTTATAGATTTTTTTTTTTTTGCGTGGTTGGTACTATTAGACTCAGAATTAAATTTTCTATCTTTTGTAAAATTTTAAAAATTTTATGAAAATAAAAAATATTTTTCCTGAGATAATAATTGATTATTTTTGCTTTAAAATGCTTTTGGTGTTGCATGACTAATTTCCTGGGGTTGAAATTTTTATTGTAGACTACTGTAAAGGTTTACTATCTACTGGCATAATTGTTTCAGTTTACCAGATTCTGCAATATTTATTTTTGTTTTTTATGTGTGTTTATTAGTTATTTAAAATTCTAGAAAATTTTAGGAAAATTCCAAAAAATTTAGAATGATGTACATTCTATTATGGCATAATCTGAATATTAAATACAGTATATTATATATATATTTTTTGGTTTGTAATATGTTGTGAGTAGAGAAGCATGATTAGTTTATTTATTTATTTATTTGAATTCCATTATTAAATGCATATAGCATGAGTTATTTGTAAATTTACATTAAAATACTATTGTATGGAATTTATCATGCTTTGTATATGCCATAAGTAGTGGGAGATTAATTTTTTTTTTGTGCATAGAATTAAATTAAATTTTGATAATTGTCACTAGAGGCGCAAGAGATGATTATGAGCATAGGAAATTTTCGATCTTGAGACATGTGTAATATTATCATTATTTAATTTAATTTAGTTTTTTTTTTTTTTTGCTGCAAAATAATTTTTGTGTTGTTATCATTAATATCCCTTGCGCATTTGTTTACTCTGTATGTAGAAATGGATGCTAAGACAGTTGTGGTAGACTTTACTAAGGGAGAGAAATTGGATGGCGACAATTATGACATATGGTGCGTAAGATCCAATACTTCTTCAATGAGCAAGAATTGTTGACCACACTTGAACAAGTGATGGTTGAGCTAGAGTAGGGCAATACAGCTCAACATCGTCGTGATCTTGAAGTCTTTCAGACTTGGCGTAGCAAAGATCGGTGTGCACGCTTTACTATGTTGAGCAACATGCACAACGACTTAATTAGTGAGTTTGAGCATTGTTCGACTGCATTTGAGATGTGGAAAGCTCTCAAGCAAAAGTTTGGTATTACCTCTTTGGCAAAGCTACGTGGGCTGACTATGAAGTTTGACTCCTATCAGAAAAGGGCGCATCATTTGATGAAGCAGCATTTGAGAGTCATGTCAGCTATGGTATGTGAACTTGCGGTTGCTGGGCACAATTTGACTCAAGAACAACAAGTACAAGTTGTGATTTGCTCTCTGCCAAATTCTTGGGAGCAGATGAAGTAGAACATGATGCATAATGAGAGTGTGAAAACATTTGAAGACATATCGCGTCATTTGGAGCTAAAGGCTGAGCACCTTGAGGCGGCTAAGTCTGATGGTTCTGCTATGGTGGTTGAGTCGAGCTCACGTAGGACTTCTCAGTTCAAACGTAAAAAAGCAAAAGGTGCCCCTAAGAAGTAAGCAGCAGCTGAGCTAAAGCCCAATGGCACTAGAAATTTCAAGCGTAGGGGCAAGAGAGGTGGCAAGAAGGTAAAGGCTAAATTGACATGCTTTAATTGTAACAAAGAAGGACACTTCACTCGGGATTGCCCTGAGTAAAAGAAGGTACTCCCTTACTTAATTTCTCGCATTCAATGCTTTGTTTCTAGTCAAGCATTAATTGCTCATTCTCCTCATTTTTGGGTTGTAGACTCCAGAGCAACAGACCACATCGCGAGGGACAGAGTAGGGTTCGTTGAGTATCACCGAGTACCTGCTGGGAGCAGAAAAGTTTACATGGGGAACGAGTCCAGTGTGGAGGTGCTTGGCATTGGCACATACAAGCTAGAAATGCGACAAGGGCGCACCTTGTATCTTCATGATGTTCTTTATGCTCTAGATATTCGGCGAAACTTAGTTTCAGTTATTAGCATGATGAGCCTTGGTTTTAGCTTTTGTTTTGAGAATAATGGTGTTAGCATTTATTTGGGAACAATTTTTTTTATGGTTTTGGTTATCTTTCAGATGGTTTTTTAGTTTTGGATGTGAATGATTCTAGTTTTAATAAAAATGCCAATGGCTCTATTTCTAATGTTGCAACATTTTGTGATAATGATTCTATGAGATGGCATGTTAGATTAGGCCACATAGAGCAAGACATGATGACTAGATTGGCTAGAGAAGGTCTTTTAGGCCCACTCGCTAGAGTCACTTTGCCTACTTGTGAGCACTGTCTTGTTGGAAAGGCAACAAGGAAACCATTTGGGAAAGCCGTAAGGGCATCTATCCCATTACAACTTATTCATTTTGATATATGTGGACCAATGAATGTGAGGGAAAGACATGAAGCCCCTTATTTCATTACATTTATAGATGATTGCAAGCATTTTGGTCATGTCTATTTGATTTCTCACAAGTCAAAAGCATTGGATTGCTTTAGACGGTATGTTAATGAGGTTGAGAATCAATTAGACAAGAGCATTAAGGCTCTAAGGACTGACTGGGGACGTGAGTATCTATCTGAGCAATTTAAAGTGCTTTGTGAGGAAAAAGGAGTTATCAAGCAATTGATAATTCCTAGGACTCCGCAGCAAAATGGTGTAGCGGAGAGAAGGAATCGCACATTGCTTGACATGGTTAGATCAATGATGGCGTAAGCTAATCTTCTCATTTCTTATTGGGGAGATGTTTTGTTGACTGCTGCCTATGTCCTTAACCGTGTGCCCTCCAAATCAGTTCCTTCCACCCCATATGAGATCTGGACTGGAAAAAAGCTTGATTTGGGCACTTTGCGGCCTTGGGGTTCGGCAGCTTACATACACAATGTTTCTCATAAGTTTGGGAAGTTGGGCCCTAGAGGAAAGAAGTGTATCTTCATTCGCTATAGTGAGCATTCTAAGGGCTATGTGTTTATTGGGAAGCATTCGGATGGAAGTGTGACTGAAATTGAGTCACGAGATGTGGATTTCCTAGAGGAGGATTTCCCTAGCAGAGGTGAGGTAACTAGAGATGTAGAACTTTATGAGATGGAGGATCTACTTGAAGGCGCAGCTAGTAGCCTAGTAGAGAATGAGGAGATAATCCCTCAAGCTCTTAGGGACAGTGGAAGCGATCTACCTGCCCATGGATTAGATCCAATGGATGAGGATTCTCAGGATTCTCAACTATGTAGAAGCAAACGCGGAGCTATATCCCGTCGTCGCTTTGAGATTGAAGGGGAAGCATTCATGATTGCTCCGAGTGATGAGATGGAGCCTAAGAATCTCAAAGAGGCTCTCTTATCCCCTGCTAGTAAAGAATGGAGTACTGCAATTGATGAAGAAATAGAGTCTATGAAGAAAAATCATGTCTGGGACTTGTTTGATTTGCCGCCAAGGCGCAAGACTATTGGGAACAAATGGGTTCTCAAAATCAAGCGCAAAGCGGATTGTTCCATAGAAAGGTATAAGGCTCGTCTTGTGGCGAAAGGTTACACCCAACAAGAGGGTGTGGACTATGAGGAAACTTTTTCACCAGTTGTAAGGTTTGCCTTTATTCGCCTAATTCTGGCCATAGTAGCTCAATTGGACTTAGAGCTATATCAAATGGACGTTAGGACTGCATTTCTCAATGGAGAATTGGACAAAGAGATCTATATGGATCAACCATAAGGCTTTATGGTAGTAGGTCAGGAGCACAAAGTTTGCAAGCTTTAACGATCTATTTATGGCTTAAAGCAATCATCTAGATAGTGGAATCTGAGATTTCATCGAGCCATTATTTCTAATGGGTTTACGATGATCGATGAAGATCACTGTGTGTACGTTAAGCAGTGCAAAGACATTTTTCTGATATTGTCATTATATGTAGATGACATTATTGGTTGGAAATGACAATGAGGTGATTGCCGCCACTAAAAGGTGGTTGTTCTCAACATTTGAGATGAAAGACATGGGTGAAGCGAGCTATGTGCTCGGTGTTAAGATCCTTAGGGATTGCTCTAGGAGACTTCTTGGTTTGTCTTAAGTGACTTACATTAAAACTATCCTAGAGCGATTCCAGATATAGTGCTGCAAACCCATTAACACTCCTATTACGAAAGGCGAGAGCCTAAGCCTTGGTATGGGTCCTAAGACTCCAGAAGAAAATGAAAAGATGGCCTGTATTCCCTATGCAAATGTTGTTGGAAGCTTGATGTATGCTATGATGTGTACACGCTTTGACATTTGTTATGCAATCAGATTGGTGAGTCGTTACCCATCCTACCTAGGACCAGCTCATTGGAAAGCAGTTAAGAGGATATTACGATATCTTAGAGGGACTGCAGATTACACACTTTGCTACCAAAGTTCAGATCTATATCTAGTTGGCTATTGTGATCTTGACTGGGGAGGAGACTTAAATGAGCGTAAGTCTACTTCAGGATATGCTTTCATGCTTAGCGATGGTGCTATTTCTTGGAGCAGTAAGAAGCAATCCCGTATCACCTTATCGACTATGGAGGCTGAGTTTGTGGCTTGTTCATCTACCGTTCAAGAAGCCGTTTGGTTGAGGAGATTCCTTCAACATTTGGATGTTGTCACACACACTTTAGACCCTGTGACTATCCATTGTGACAGCATGGCTGCACTCGCTTACGCTAAGGATCCTAAATACTATGGCAGAACCAAACACATTGATGTGAGGTTCAACTTTATCAGAGACATTGTGGCGCAGAAAGAAGTGATCCTGGAGCACATCCCTATGAGTTGCATGGTTGCGGACCCTTTGACTAAGCCCATTGCTAGAGATATTTATCTTAGTCATGTTAGGGTTTTAGGGCTATGTAGGTGGTGATATATTTATGTGTATTCAGTTGAACTCATATTTTTTGGGATATTTATGCCATTAGTATTCATATTTATTTCTATTACACATTTATGTTTCCTACTTTTTGCAATGGTTTGTGAATTAGCATACACAGAATAAATAAATTGATGTTAGCAGGCAAGATTGGCTTACTCACACGAGAAATCGCCCTTAGCGCTAGGTAGCGAGTAAGGATGAGACTAGTGGCTTACTGTATTTGGAGCAAATAGAGAAACTAAAATTATCCACTAGCTATGCCGCCTTGGTTGGAGCCAAGATGAGGTCTTGTTAGAGACTGACCATGGATATGAGAGTACCCATTTTTCCATGATGTGCCTGTTATGGATAGCTAGATGCGAGATCTCATTTGATGCCTGAGAGGCGAGCAAATAGAGATTTCGAGTTAGACGCTAGGAAGCGACTTGTGCGCTTAAGAGCAACTTGACTAAGATCTGTATGGTGTGTGAGTTTAACATCACTCTTTGGAAGAGTCACTCCGCTATAACATGCATTCGTGCTGCATGTGCTTATCAACCCGTTAGCAAGGCGAAAGAATGGATCCCTGCTTCTTCACCGTGTGAGTCCTAAAAGTCATTGTTCCCTAAATGACTTCACTTTGTGCCTTTTGTGACCTTTGACTAGGTCATAAGATGAGGAGTTGATGTTCAGCTACTTTGGGATGTTGCCTGCGGTCATGTATGATTCGGCTTTAAGGGACATTTCTGGAAAAGCGGTCAATTTCAAATTAAATGATATGAGGGTGAAGGGAAGATCATCTAGTTCTACATCTCTGCTTTATATTCAGTGTCGACCACTTACATCGCTCTCTATGGGATGCTGATTGGGTGTGAATATAATGTGGGACCTAGGAGAGTCAAACATGCTCTTTGAGAGATTAGAGATGTTTTTGGACCGATGTAGCTAGATGGGTCTGGGTACATGAGACACTATTTCTGTTCATTTTGGGTTTATGTCTTTATGCTGACTCATATTGAGTTTCTAGTATAGAGCTCCCACATGCAGGTGTTCTCAGCGGTCGCACGGTGCATTGGCTAGTATGAGATTGTTCATTTTTGGAGAGATTAAGATAGAGATGTGGTAGTGTCATGCCAACTCATGTGCGAGTGGGAGATGTTAGAAATTGGGCGCCCATGTGGCATGACCCATGAACCTTTTGAACCTTATCCATGTAAGTTTGAATTTGAATTCAAAACTTATTTGGATAACCACTCATGATATCTATATCTATCATATCAACTGATATGGATAGATGATATATTTATCCTATATATCTGACATGATATATGGGATATGACATAATGAAACAACGTATGTTTTTCCCATACTGACTCTCTCCCATTAGCAAACAACAATCAAGCTTTTTGCACTGTGACTTGTGTGGGTGATACTCATGTTGTGGTATCACTCCACTTCTGAGTTCGTTGTTCGTATTCTTGAAGCACATGATTTACCCACGAGATTTTTCGCTTCAGGTTCTATCACCTAAGGTATGATCTGAATTTTTTACCCGCTGCGTTATACTTTGATTTACAATATATACATATATTATAGAGATACAACATTACTTGGATAGCTGTGCAAAAAATGATAAAGTATTCCAAAAGTAGATGACGACCAAGACGAGTGAAAACCCTAATGGAAAACCTTTAACTGCGCTATTCAATTGGAGCACGGTTCCTAAACTTTGATCTTTTTGTATAGTCACATAGCTAAAATATGACAATGAGATTTAGTACTGTTGATGCTTTAATATATCATTTGAAATTGCATTTTATCCCAATGATCCCATAAGTATGGTTTGAGAAAGAGATTGTGTCTTATGACTATTTCACTTGTCTTCCTTGATTGTAGATTCATGCATATAAACTTTCCCATTTGTGGCTGAATGATGATAGAGTCCGAGAAGCGCTTCATATCCGAAAGGTACACCTTTCATTGTTTGTTTAGAATAAGAAGTTTAAATAGTTGTATTGTGAGAAAAATTAGTATCGAGACGATCAAGTGAAATGTCTCAAAATTAAGAGATGGGTTGTGAAATTTTTTTAAATCATTAACCGTGAAAAAAATGTGTTTTATAGTAGCATAACTTGTCGTATCAATATTATGAACCAATGGTATCAGGTACAAATTGCTACATATTGTGAATTGGCCAATATACATGTATTTTTTTCCCCTTTTCATTGATTTGTTGAAATGCATCAAGGGAAAAAAATTATGTTTCTATTGATATTTAAAACTATTTATAAGAAAAATATCATGAAAATGAATTGTATTTCTTAAAATAGGGAAGCATAGGGGAATGGAAAAGATGCGCCTCTGGATTGCCTTACACTCAATCAATTTGGGACAGTTTCCAATATCATGTGAACCTCAGCACTAAAGGTTACAAGTTTCTCATATACAGGTGAGATCACTATGTATCTTGCGTTAAAACAAAGAAATTAAGTGCAATAAATAATGGTGTTTCTAGTTACACAATATTTCACCTCATTGTGCCTATTTAAAATAACGTTGCCAATAGCACTCATCTATTTTTTTGGGACCCCTATCTTCTTTCAATACCACCATAATTTTTATTTTATTTTATTTTTTTGATTTTGAACATCAAGCTTAATCTCAATTCTATCATCATCCCTAACATATGAAATTTTAATCCTAGCCCCCTGTCTCCACCGTTACTTCAAGTAGCCCATTCCCCCATACCTTTGCCACCCTAAAGCTCGCCCTCAGTCACCCCCACCCCCACCCCCACCAACCCTTCTTCGAACACCAACCTTAATCTCAATTCTACCTTCATTTCTAACATATGAAATTGTAACCCTAGCCCCTACCTCTACCTCACCTCAAGTAACCCATCCCTCACCTTGTTGCTACATTTCAGCCCACCTCTACCTACTACACTAGCTTCTAACCCCATTTACACCCTCCCATGCCTTTCCCTAGCCCCTCTTTTTTCTTCTTTAGCATGTCAACCCCTACTTATCCTCCCTGGATACCTCTCATTTTTCTTTTTCTTAAGCTTCTCCTCCTCCTCCTGTTTCTCTTTATTAAATGCACTCTTATACAATTCCTCTTTCTCTATCAAATGGGTTGCACAGGGAAGTGAAATGATGAGGTAGAGGTTGAAGAGGGTAAGGATAGGCTAGAAAGGGGTGATAAATAGTAAAGAAGGACTAAAGAATGTAATTCCCTGGGAGAACACCTCCCAATCCTGTTCACTTGGGCATTCCCGCCATACAACACACACCACCATACCAATAGAGACAAAAATAATGAAATAACATTTATTACATTTTGTTCCCTTTTAATCTATCCCTTAAGATTTACAATATTGTCTCATTACATCCATAAACAAAAGAAAATAGTTCAAAAGTAAGAAAATATGTAACAACACAAGTCGCAAGTCGACTTCTTTAAAAAATGTGTTCTTTGTGACACTAGCATAAAAGTGACATCCAATTACAATACAGCCTTAGTCTTGAACACAAAAAGATTTCAACGAAAGGTTTCACACTCCAAAAGGGTTTTCTTCTTCTCAAGAAATCAGTTAGGAGATGCTTAGTTTTCATTTTCTGAAATTGGTTAGCTTTATGGTGAGCAAAGCTCAGTAGGTAATGAATTGAACAAATTATATAATTAATTGAAAGACATGCAATGCAAACATTTGAAATATAGAAATGAAGATGTATATGAGTATCTATGTATGTGAGTGAAAACATGCAATGCATGAAATTTGCTTAATCTTTCCACGTTATCCACGGGTGGTAAATATACTATGACATCGCAAGTATGAACCAAAAATCAAAGCATACATATATAAATATAGTTTTGTATACTGAAAAAAGTCTCACATTTGCCGGCTCCAGAAACGGTAGGGCGATGGGCACCCAAAAGCATTTTCCCTTCCACATTTGCTGGCTCTAGAAACGGCAGGCTTGTGTTCACCCAGAAACCATGTTTTTCCACATTTGCCAGCTCTAGAAATGGCGGACTCATGGACATCCAAAAAGATTTTCCCACGTTCATTTGGTGATATGCACATACAGGGCCATTGGGCACCTTGACTCCCCGCACGGGTACCAATTACATTACTGTAGACGGCTCGAACTTCGCTCCGCGCGCGAGGGCACGAATCATTGTTCTTAGCTCCTACAGTTCGGACTCCTGTCACGGTTCTGAATCTAATCTCACAAAGTGCAATGTAAGATTGATAAATCACCAAAGAGTCCAAATCTGGCAAATCGTTTTGAAAAATCGATTTTAAGCAAAAAGTGCCAAACATGGACTGGTTTCCAGATTTTAGAGTCGCCACCTAAATATTTTATTTTGGGGAAATTTAGAAAACCCTGACTCGTGCCTAAGGTCGCGTGTCTGTCATCACCAAAGTTGTCTCAGCTCGAGAACTTGGGTACAAGAGGGGAAGGTCCTGAAATGAGCACCCCTACTCGCCCGATCAAAGATCGCCCTCTACTAACATGATATGTTATTTTTGAAAACACATGCATTCTTATTCCGGTTATTAATCTAACTTACTACGTGATGCGCACAGCACACAAGTATAGACTAAATCGTTCAAATTGGACAAAACATCTCATGTTTGTTTGTTTGAAATGGTTTGAAGGTGCTACTCGCAAGTAGACTAAGACGCAGATTTGCCACTCTCAAGTGGACTTAGGAAAACATGATTTTGCCACTTTAAGTGGGCTTAAAACTCGCATTTCGATGAATTGTTCCAATTCAAGCAATCCAACCTTCATCCACAGGCATTCATGCAGTTATAGTAATTAAGCAAATAGTCTCATGGAAAGCACGCTATCATGGCAACACTCACACATATGAAAGTATGTTAAAGCATAAACACTCACAGTATACTCCGAGACAAAAAAGAAGCTAGTTAGTAATCAATACATGATCCTATCTATGTTAACAATGCCTAATGCAACACATGCAAAAAATGCAGCTAAAATAGGCTCGGCTATTCTAAGATGTCATGTGAATGCAATTTAGATAACATATATTCAAATTGGTATTGAAATACAATGCAGTTTGTATGATGCGCCGAGCCTGGTGCATGCAAGATGAATGAATGAATGCAAACATGCTAGCATAAGGATGTTAATTGAAACATGCCCTAAAACTAACCATCGAAAGCTGATAAGTAAAAGGGAGAAAGAAATGGGGGTTGGAAGACACGCATCACACATACGTACCCTTATTACAACATTTGCCCTCTCAACGGAGGGTTCGAATAATAAGCTAACTAACTAATCTAAGCTAATTATTACAAAACGAAACTAATTAACTAACAAGTTAACTAATTACAACACAAATTAGAAGCTAAGTGCATTAACTACTTGAGTACAGAACCAAATAGCTAACTAGCTAAGCAAAGCAATTAAGTAAAGCAGTAAGAAGTGGTCCTCAAGGCGAGAAGTGCATGCATGCTCGGTCGCCTCGTTCAGAAATCCATTACGATGCCCCAACTTGCCTCTGTTTGCATTTGATCTTAGAACATTGCACAAACCTCCAGATAGCTTCTACTCCAACATGGAGACTTCCAGGAAGGCTGCTGACCACTTATTGGTGGTGTAGACCACCTGTAGACCACTTACATTTGCTGCAGACCAGAAAAAGTGGTCAGCCAGCCATTTTTACTAGTTTGCCAACCAGAAAATTCTGCACAACTCCAGTTTGCTGCAACAGAGAACAAGAAGGGGCACAACAGTGTATTTGCAAGGTATGTGTGCACAACCACCCTCCCTATCATTTCATGAGCTCAAGGGAGTGCGGTACTCGACTTTCGGGCCACCAACCGAGCATCGCTATGCACGATGGCCGAAAAGTCAACTTTGCACATTTCAATGTAAATGAATGCACAAATAACATATAAGAGCTTCCGCCTCTATCATGCATGATCAAGAGGGTCGGCGACTGAGAAATAAGGCACGTTTCATCACTTCAAGTATGAAACGTCCCTTATTTCTCGTGTTTGGATTAACACCCTATCCAAACACAATGCAATGCAACATGATCAACTTAACAATGCTAATGGCATGCAAACAAAATGCAATGCATGCATATGTAAACAACATGCAATGTAACAACATGCAAACAACATGCAAACACAATGCAATACACCAACATGCAAACAACATGCTATTCTACCAATGCTAGGATGGCATGCCCAGGATTCTATCATGCAAACAATGCGTCCATGGCAAGTTTAGAAGCTTAAGGCATCGAAACTAGGAAAGAGCATCACACAAGAGGCATGCAAAACAATGCTCAATGGACTTAAACCGAATATGGACAGACCTAAATCATGCCAAAACAGTGGCCAAAATGATGAAAAGATGGCATGAAAAGCAAGATAATGCATGCTCATGCATTGGCCAATCAACTAAGCATAAGAGCACAACTCTTGGAAACACTCAAAGAGTGAAAGAAGTAAGAACATGGCAATGCTACATGCTCTGAAATATCATGAGAAATGATGCCAAATCACGCACATGTCGCAAATGAAGCATGCTAGAGGCATGAAAACACAAGGCTAGTCAAGCCCATTGCACTACAACTATGCAATACATGAACCATATGGTCAAGACAACCCAACACAGTCATAGAGCATGTCAAAATGAGGCTAAAACATACATGGAGTGTAGCCAAAACAAGCTAGCATGAAGGGCATGAAGCATGGAGTATGCAAGGCCAACAAGGAGGATTACACTACACCTACCAAAACCAAGCATGAGATGACTTCACCAACAAAAATCAGAGTTGTATCATGAAAAAACAAGACCAAAAACACACTGATATGGCAGCCCAAAAGCTTAGGCAAGATGGCATACACAATGGCTCATACTTAAGGCATAAAGCACAAACCCTCCAGAGCATTGAAAGAGTGACACATGTGAGTGTATGGCCACACTACATGCACTGAAATCATGTACCAAATGATGCTAAATCATGCGAATAGCCCAAGCAATGCATGCTAGTGACTTGGAAACTCAAGGTTAGTGAGCAAAAATGCACTATGGCTATACAAAGCAAAGCATCCATGACCCAAAACACTTAAATCAGACCTAGAGCATGCTAGAGTGGAGCCAAAAATATGCTAGAATGATGGTCCAAAACATGATGCATGTTAGGCTAGTGAGTGGAATTGCACTACAAGTGCAAGGAGCATGCAAGAGGCTATCAAACCAACCCAAAACAGAGTTAAGGCATTCTAAAATAACACCAAAAACTTGCTGAGATAGGGCCAAAACATGCTAGAAAGATGAGCTATCAACACAAGCATGTAAGGCTAGTATGTAAAATTTACACTACAAGTGTATAAAGCATGCAAGGGGGTGACTCAACCAAGCTAAAAAAGAGGTATGCGATGTCAAAATAGCACCAAAAACAAGTTGAGAACAAGCCAACACATGCTAAAAAACCATGCTCAAAGATGAGGCAAACAAGGCAAGCAACCAATATACAAGGAGAGGGGATGACCCCCTCCTATTTGGGACCTCAAAACATACTTTCCACCACTAAAATTCCTCTGAGTTTCAGTGGTGAGAAGGCCAAAAAGAGGTGGTCCCAATAGCTTAAAAGGATAGCACAAAATAAAGCCAAACAAGGCATAAGAGGGGGTAGACCACCCCCAACACCAAAGAAGCCTTAAACGAACATTTCAAACACTTGAAAATGAAGCTTTTTGTAGTAGAAAGTTAAGTCTAAAACATCATGTAAATAGGGCCAAAGACTTAACCAAAAACAAAGCTTTAAGGGACTAAAGTCTCACCTTTGAAGAAATACTTCAAAGCAGCAACTCCAACAGCCTTTTTGGACCAAAAGTGATCCAAAAACACCAAAACCAACTTCAAGGTGCCTCAACTTCAAAGCAAAGGTGTTTGAGTAGGTGTTTGTGTGCAAAAATGTGAAGAAACTACACTTTTATGCTCAAATATGAAGAGAAATGACGAAGTATAGAGATAGATGATATGTATATGCCCTATGCAAATTTTGAACCTGAGACAAGAGGGAGGTGGCTCCCTTTTATAGAAAAACATGCATCAAGCTTTTGAGCAAGCTTGAAGCTTGAATCAATCCCTCCGTACACGTGTATGGAGGATGCTTTTTGTGCCTAACAGTTGGCATGGAAAATATTTGCAGAAAGTGCAGGAAAGTTGCCAACCAGTTGAAGTGGTCGGCCAGCTACTTGTACTGGTCGGCCGACCAGTGAAAGTGGTCTGCAAGGAGACCAACTGGTCAGCAAGGGGGAGATGTGGTCTGCACAAAGAAAGCAAGGTGGTGGCATGGTTGCAGACCACTTTTGGTGGTCCAAAGACCACCAAGACCAGCTGGCCGACTAGAAAACTGGCTGGTAAGGAAGAAAAGTGGTCTTCAGGGGGAGAAACTGGTCTACACCCCTTATTCCACCCTCCAAGTAAGGAAAACAAGGTTTGTGCCAAAAACAAACAAAAAAGGATGAAAGACAAAAGCTCGCGGGACAAGGCGCACAGCCGGAAGCCTCGAAAACTAGTCTACGAGCACAAAAAGGTGGTCTACGAGGGAAAGGTGGTCTACGGCCATAAAAAATGGTCTACAGACCTCTGTTTCCCTCTAGGCAAAGGCAACAAGGCATGGTCCGAAAATCAGGCCAAAAAGAGAACGTTAAAAGGCGCTCGGCCGAAGGCTCCGGAAACCGAAAACTAGCCTACAGGAGAGAAAAGTGGACTACGACCACAAAAAGTGGTCTACGGACCTCTCTCTTCCTCCAGGCAAGGTCAATAAGGCATGGTCCACAAACTGAGCCAAAACACAAAGAGTTCAGAGGCCCCGAGGCAAGGGACTCAGTCGAAAACTCCGAAAACTCGAAACGAGCACAAACATGTGCGATCACCGTGTGCTCAAACGATGACGTCTGAGTCTTAAGGTCTGTAAAAAATGGGGTGTCTACAATTACACAATTCAAAAACCAACCCGACTCACTACCCGGACTCATAGACTACTTACCCCCTTCCGCTTTTCAATAATCACTTCATCATAGTGTCAAAAGAGAAATTTCGAATGCATATGATGCATGAATTTATAAATCTTCAATTTTTCCTACAATGATTTCAATTCATAACAATTCACTACTTTACACATCAATAATAGAGGATACCTCATTAACAACCTTCACCAACTCAAGGTGTCTATAGAAAAAAGTTCAAAGCTTACATTTTAACCTTAAAGTTAAGTAAATACATTCAATTTCATGTTTTTGAAACCAATTGAGCAAAACCCCTCTTTATTGAACAAATCTCAAAACTAGGGTTTATGGAAAATTTGGGGTTTTCTCTCTTTTATGAATTAAGGACTACTTTTCCTCATCAACATCGAAAATCATCAATAAAAGACATAATTCCATCCAAAATGAATGAGTTATTGACCACATCCTTCCAAATAATTTATTAACCAACACACTCCATATACATATATATATATATATATATATATAAGGATGAATATCTAATGAAATTACCACATGTGGGTATCAAATTAAAGATATAACAAGTTAAAGGCACCTCTACCTGAAGATTGGAAGTTGAGGATGAGAACCCACTTGAAACTTTGCAAAATTACGAAATAATCAGCAGAACTCTTGATCCAAGCTTGCCTTTCAACCTCCTTGAAGTATCTAGGGTGGATCTAAGGTAAGAGAAGAGATGAAGAAAGAATAAAGATTTTGGGCCAAAAAGTGACTTTAAAGTGCCTGATATCGACTAGACCGCTTGAGCGGTCGTAGCTTGGCTCGAGCAGTGAAAAGAAGCTCCCAAAATCTCCGAAATTCGCGTAAACCACTCAAGCGGTGCAAAGTTCGTTCGAGCAGACTTACTTCTACCACAAATACTCAAATTTCAAACAAACATAACTCTCTTATTCAAACTCCATTTCAGGTCATTCTTGTGTCCAAATCGAAGCCCCGGAAACAAGCTTTCCAATGGTATTAGCCGCACATTCAAATTCAAAGTGTGGAAAGAGAAAATGGCAAAATAGTGAAGACTACTCGTGGGACAATTATTCGAATCAATGTTTTTGGTCTAATCTTACTTTACCATTGTGATATCACCCCAATCAATACTCTAACATCAGCCAAAGAGGCTCAAAGTACAATAATAAGAGTGTCAAAGTAATCCCATGAGTTTAGGAAGTACAAAGTGTTACAAAGAGGGTGAGGTTGGGGCTAGGGGTAAGCAAGAGCCATCATAGCTGAGACCATAGATGATTCTATGTCATCCTCGTTCCCTTCCTTTCTAGCTTTCCTTTCCTGATGTGGATTCGAAACCAAGACTGACCCAGGAAGGCAATACATGCTTTTGGCACATTCACTATCTCACTTTCAGTAAGACAGAGAGAGTGTGGGAATAGGAAGGGGTTAATGGTGGTAGGGAGCAGTGAGAGAGGGTTAGTAAGGGCTAGGAGTGGCAGCCAAAGATGGTGGCAGTGGGTGGTGTAGAGTTAGGGTTAGGGTTTGAAAGGTTAGAAATGGAAATAATATTGTAATAAAAAAATTAGGGATGCGTTTAGGTCCAATATTAACCTCACTCCATCTCTCTACATCCATTCTCTTCTTCACTCTCTCTTTACTCTCCGTCCTCTCTCATACTTCATATGTAGGAGAAGATGAACCTAGATCTCTCAGTTGAGGGTTTTGTAGGCAACATCAATGACGATAACTAGGATTTTAGGTGGTGGAGGTTGTGAGGAGAGCGAGGAAGGGACTGGGGATGTCACGTAGATTGTAAGGGAATGAAGAGGTAGGGTAGTGGAAATGAAAGATATTGCAAGTAGGAAGATGAGGAGGGCGGAAGAGAGGAATGGTATCGGATAGTTGGTGCGAAAGACTAAAAATGAGGTGGACAAGTGCGGCAAGGAAGGAAGGAAGAAGAAGAAGAGGCAAGTGTTGCTAGGGATGCAGATGGTGATAAGGTGGGAAAGAGCGGGTGGCAAGTGGGGAAGGGTAGTGAGGTGTAGAGAAGACGTTATCGTGAATGGGATGACAAAGGGAGAGGGTTTAGCAATGATGCAATATTTGTATCATTTTCAGGTTTCAATTTTTAAATGGTAATTTACTTAGAGATAAAATGGTAATAAACAAAATTTATAAAATGGTGAGGGTAAAGAGACTGATTTGTGGGGGCAAATAAAGGCTCTCATAAATAAAATCCAAAAAGAAGAAAAAAAGGATTTGGCTTCTACATGGAGAGAAGTTTAATTCTGTCCAATTGGCAGTCAGTCTTGTCACGTATTGCATTTTAATTATCTAACTTTTTATTTTTATAAGTCTTTTGAGTATTGATCATCTACACACACCCAAAAAAAAAAGAAAAAGTAATAAATTGTTGTCACATGATTTCATTATATTTTCTTGAAACACAATTAAACAACTAGGATTCATGGTGAAAAGAACTTACCTTTATTTTTTGAAGTTAAATCTAATGAAATTATATATAATAATCATTATTAGATCAATTTAATTTAATTAATTTTTTTTTAAAAAGTCAATATGCAAAAAATTTACGTAATAAACTGTTTAGATCATTAAAGACATAACCGAATTTTTCTTTAATGGTAGAGAATTGGTTCCTACACACAACAACAACAACAACAAATTAATAATAATAATAATAATAATAAAAATAAAAATAAAGAAGTTGTTGGTGTAATGATGGCTGAAACAGTGGTGATCACGACATGGTAGTTCCATTCTTGGGAACCCAAGCATGGATTAGAGCTCTCAACTATTCCATTGTTGATGACTGGCGTTCATGGTGGGTCCAAGGTCAAGTTGCCGGGTGGGTTCACCTCAATTTTTCATATTCATTTTTCTTAGAAGAAGGCTTATTGCAAATATTGTTTTATTTATTTATTTATTTTTCATTGACAATGTGTAGTTATACAAGGACTTACTCCAATCGGATGACATTTGCTACGGTTAAGGTATGATATTTTTTGTCTTCACTCATGGTAGTTCCATTCTTGGGAACCCAAGCATGGATTAGAGCTCTCAACTATTCCATTGTTGATGACTGGCGTTCATGGTGGGTCCAAGGTCAAGTTGCCGGGTGGGTTCACCTCAATTTTTCATATTCATTTTTCTTAGAAGAAGGCTTATTGCAAATATTGTTTTATTTATTTATTTATTTTTCATTGACAATGTATAGTTATACAAGGACTTACTCCAATCGGATGACATTTGCTACAGCTAAGGTATGATATTTCTCTTCACTTGTTTCGCATATTTTTTAAATGTGTGTGGTATCGTTTCGAATTTTTTATCTTTGGTTTTCATGTTTTTTAAAATAAAATAATTAAAAAAAAATGAAGACACTTTCCTTTTTATTTTTGGGTGAAAATAGTTATTATTAAAAATTGAGAAAAGTATTTCTAAACAAAGGAGACGTTTGAAAAATATTTATATAAAAAAAAAAACAATAGCCAAACAAGTTTTCTGCATCATTTTTCTTTTTCTTTTTTTATTTTTTGAAGAAAAAAATGAAAATAGTACAAAAGGTGAAGTACATTCTTTTATTCTTTTGTTTTTTCTTTCTTTATTTTTTGTTTACGTTCTTCGTGGTTTTTTAGGTCATTTTCACTTTTATCTTTTAAATTATCGTCATTTATTCTATTTGTATCAATTTTGTCTAATTCGTTCCTAGGTTTCTAATTTGAGGGTGGACTTAGTCTATTTGGAGATGATTGTTTATTGAAAATTAGTTTCAAAACTAGTTTCTTGGGTAAAAATAAGTCAACAAAAAACGTACAAAACTAATTTATTTGGCATATTCTTAACGTTTATTGAGTAGTTAAAGTTCACTTTTTCACAAACATGAATTAGTCAGAAGATATAAGACTTTTTAGCAAATAAACCTTTTTCACCAATAAGTTGGCTTTTAAGCTAGCCCATTGAAGAATAAATATAACCACTAAGACTAATTTGATGGGCAAAAATGTCATTTTAAAATTTAAACAATTTAAACCACACAACAAGACACTCATTTTTCTTGCTCGTTATTTTGAAATAAGGAGTGAAGAAGAATATGGATTATTTGGTTATAGGTTGTGAGTTGTCTAGTATAATGTGAGTGAGAAGACAAATGGTTGATCATATGATTTAGATTGTGCGGATTATAAAACTACTTTTGTATGGATGTAATAGGTTAGAATTCCACCACAATTAATTTGTACATTTTATCTTGAACTGGATCATATGAACTGAAACTTAAATAAATAAGACACTCTATAGAATACTATCAAAAATATAATATAAATAATAAATTACCCTTTCCCTCTAACAACTTGAGCTTTTAGATGAGTTTGTAGTCAATATTTCAATAAGGTATATGAGCAGACAAAATATCATGTCTTTCAGCCTCACCACCTACCCAATAATTAAAACATGTTTGCATATGTTTGGCTTCTTATGAAGAATAAAAGTTCGAGCACACATAAGGGGGCATGTTAAAAATATAATATAAACAACAAAGTTGTCATTTTATCAAGCAACTTCAGATTTTAGATGAGTTTGTACTCAATACTTCAATAACTAAATAAATAAAATTAATAATTTAAGAATAAAATTAAAAATGAAAAATGACAAAAGTTAAAAGTATAAAAGAAAGTGAAATTAATGTTATATTTGATTTTTCCCCCCCCCTTTTTTTTGCCTTTGTGTGTGTTAACTCTGTGTGTGTTAACAGGGAGGAGAACATATAGCTCCACAGGACAAGCCTGTTGAATGTCGTGCTATGTTCGAAAGATGGATTTCTAATCAACCCCTATGATCAATGTTTTACCTTAGCCAAATGGATGTGCCAACACCCAAAAGTGTGATCATTTTCAAGCTGCCAAAACTCCAATAGGAGACATGGTCTTATCTATTGATGCAACTATTTTTATACTATGAGAAAGTGATCAATAAATGGATAGGCTCGTATATTTCAAGTGTCCATGCTCACTAGCTTGTGCGAAAAATGATCCCAGTGGATCTAGAAATAAAATATGGTATTCAGTTCAAATGTTTACTTCTTAAATTATTGGGCCAATAGCCCCATGCGTAAATTTTTTGGGGCCAACAAGACATTACCTGTTGGAAAGCACATCTATTTGTCCAAAAGTTTATTTATATGTCTATCTATTCAAATGTAACTTATTTGTCCAAATGTCACATATTTGGCTAATATCACATATTTGTCCACCTCATTGCCACCAGCCACCTCCTTCGATGCCCAATGACTTTTTTTGGCCAATTTTATTGCAACGACAACGCGTGCCCTTATCGCCAAAAAAATATAAATCTTAGACCAAATAACATATATGACATCATAAGTATGGACTTTTCACATGCAATTATTTATTTACTTTTTTTAGTAACAAATGTGCCATACAATGATGAAACTTTAGAGAATATATATATATATATATATATAATTCACTTCAATAATATAATTGGTGTCATGTCACAGATATATTTTTGGTGCCATATAACTCATCCTTAGTACACAAGTATTTTAAAATTTGTATTTTGAAAACAAGTGAAAGATGTAATTGTCGACGGTCATGGATAGTTAGCGGACGCGAGAGTCGGTGACTAAAGATGGTTGTCATTGGTAAGAGGTAATTGGTGGTCGTTAGAAGTGGCTGTCGACCGTGGGAAGGAATGGTCAAAAGTGGTTGTCGACGATTAGAGATTGTGATCAATTGGCAAAAGTGGTTGTCGCAGGAAGGTAGTTGGCAGTGGTAGAAGGTGTGGCTTGTAGTCGAGGGAGGTGGTTGGCAAATGAGGTCATTGGCAATAGTGGTCGATGGTAGTGATGTGCAATAGGGTTGGTGAAAAAGATTGGAGAAAAAAAGAAGAAATGGAATAAATAAATAAAAAAGTGAAATCAACTTCTTCTTGGTTTTTTTTTTTTTTTTTTTTTTTTTTGTTTTTGTTTTTGTTTTTTTTTTTTTTTTTTGTGGTTACTAAACTAATTACAACTTTTTTCAAAATAAAAACAGGAATTAAAGGAGTTTTTGAATAAATTTTTAAAAAATTCTGTAACTATAAACATATAACTGTAAATTTAAATGTTACCGAAACACGTCCTATATATTATTTTATTTTAAATTTTTATGTCATCAAGATATATGTGATAAGGTATTATTTGTATTAAGTAATTATTTAAGATAATCAACCATTAATATTCTTTATAAGGTGTAATACAAAATATGGACAAAAAAAAAGCCAGCAATATATAACATTTTTTAATTAAAAATAAAATATAATGACACAGATCTCGATTAATGTCCAGCTACTCAATTATTACAGATTTTGATTCTTTATCTCTTACTGTGTAGGTGATTTTATAATTTCTTTGTGACCCGCGTGTTGCTGCTAATGCTTTCATAATTAAAAAAAAATAAATTAAATTAAAAATTAGGGAAATTCTATTATATATACATCTTTCTAGATATGTATTTTACTTTCATAATTATTGATTATGAGTTATTGTAATATTAGTTATAATTTGATTACGACTTACTGATATGATAGTTGTGATAGTAATGACACAGATCTCGATTAATGTCCAGCTACTCAATTATTACAGATTTTGATTCTTTATCTCTTACTGTGTAGGTGATTTTATAATTTCTTTGTGACCCGCGTGTTGCTGCTAATGCTTTCATAATTAAAAAAAAATAAATTAAATTAAAAATTAGGGAAATTCTACTATATATACATCTTTCTAGATATGTATTTTACTTTCATAATTATTGATTATGAGTTATTGTAATATTAGTTATAATTTGATTACGACTTATTGATATGATAGTTGTGATAGTATTTCTATTATAATTTAAAAAAGTCTTTTGTCGTACCATATATGGGATTTGATTATAATTTTTTTTTTTTAAATTATAACTTAAAAATATCTAGTTATGACATTAATTTGTGATAATGAACACCACAAATGTCATAACTTGCAACCATAACATGACGCTCAACTCCTTTCATTTTCTCCAAATTTACCAAACCCACTTTTCTCTTTGTTTAAGTTTGTTTTTTTAATTGATTTTTGGCTTTTTTAAAAATTTAAAACCCTAAAATGTGTTTGGGAAATTACTAAAAAACTACTTTTGATTAATGAAAACAAAAAATATTTGATGTTATATTTGATTTTTTAGCTGATGACAAACAGTTTGGTGGTTTTTTTCGTAAAGTCTAATTTTAAAATTTTTGGGACCATAGCCCTGAGGTCTAGCATTTTTGTAAGTTCAAAAGTGTTAGGTTTTGTTATTGGCAATCCTGTTTGACAAAACTCCTTTCAGTTATATTTTATTTGATCTTTTATTTAAATGAAGGCTATGAGTTTTTAAATGTGAATCCAACTCGAATTGTTCCTTGCAGAGGAGTTTTTGATATTAATTATTTCATGTTTGTTACTTCGCTGACTATGTCGGGAATCAAGCTGTTTGTTCACTCCAGCAAAGGAATGTGTGCTCGAGCGAAGAATCTTTAGTCCCAGAAGTTTTCACTAACAACAAAAATATTGGGAAGGTTTATTGTTCGCTCAAGCGACCAATGCGGCTCTGTTTGCTATAAAGTTGTCTTTCAGTCAGATTTTAGGGTATGGCTTCTAGATCTTTTCCTTGGGTATTAGGATTTTCATCTAGAGCTTCTTTACTTGTTTCCTTTGATATCTGTGAGAGTTTACATCATGAATTGAGTGGATTATATCAAAGGGTTTATTTATTTTGTGTTATTCACAAAAGAGAGAGTTATTCTTCAGTGGATTATGTGGAACTTGGGCCTGAAGCTTTTGTGGATTTCGGAGTGGTTCATCGTCGTGGATTCGACATCGGCGTTGTCGATTCAATGTTGGGCAAGACAATTCTGAGGTGAAGATAGTGGTGGAAGAGACATATAGGGGTCGGTTCAATTCGATCGTGGATTCGCTAGGTAATTGAGGTTACACTTGTATAATTCATTTTTGTCTTCTTAGCGGATTGTTTTGTGATTTTTTCCTTTGGTTTTTTTTATCACAATTGGAGGTGCTCCAATTGTGGTTTTTCCACGTTAAATCGTTGTGTTGATTTGTCTTTGATTGTTTGATTATGATTGTTATTTATTGCTTAAAATTGATACGTAATCACAAATCAATATCTCGAGGATTTTGAGATTTTCAAAAAGTATACAATAATTTGAAAAGACCATGTTACCCTATCTATTTGTCTAGCTATCCACATCACCGATTGGTCCAAGTGTCATTTATTTATCCACTTATCCATCCATGTGTTATTGCCCATACTTGTAACACTTTGGGTCTTTATTCGACCTAATTACTCATATTTGTTTGATGTTGGCACGACCCTTTTTAGTCTTGCATATACATTTGCTTATATGTATCATTTTCACACGTGCATGATGTTGCTAAAACAATAAATCATGTCTGGGAGTTGAGAAGTTGATATTGGTGTTAGTGGCATTGTATAGGAGAGTTGAAACCAAACTTTCTAAGGCAGAATGATCGATCGCAAAGTTGGGGCGATCGATCGCTATACCTAATTTGTTTCAATTGAATACCTTTAAATTGTGAACTTCTTGCATATTGTAATGATTTATTATTGGCCATTGGTGGAAAATGACATCATTATAGAAATCATCAGTATATGATGAATTGAAACTCATGTGATGTATATTGAATTGTTGAATTCATGAGATGCAAATCCGTTAGAATTGCATGTGTTGTTACATTGAGTTTAGAAGATCATTGGTCATCGTGAATCCATATAATACATAAAGGAATGAGATTAAGTTGGTGAGAAGAGTCTATAGTGAAAGATTGAAAATATGAGCAGAATATGTAACGCCTCGACTTTTATTACCCGAATCCATTACCAAATCCTTTATATTATTACCATTTTTAAACCATTCATTCCATTGAGGAATATGAACCAAGAATAAATAATAACATTCTCTCATGACAATGAAGATGATATATAAATAAAGCATGGTTATAACGATTCCAGTTTAGACCCGACCCCTTTTTTTTTTGGATCCGGGATTCTTTGTCTTGATGGTTGTTCATAACCTTGTTCATCTTATTCCTTGTTGAATTCAATTGTTTGAGTATTGCGGTTGCGTTTAAAACAGGTTGGGAATTTTTCTTTCAAAGGAATTATTGCCCAGATTTCTGCTTGTCCGCTCCAGTGAACTTTCTTGCGCTCGAGCAGTTTTCGTGAACTCCCAGTACTTTTGCAGGTCTTCAAAACTTCTGGGAGTGTAGTGCTTTTAGCTCGAGCGAACTTTCTTGCGCTCGAGCGGTCTTGGCTCAAGCGATCCCTCTTGTACCCGAGTAGTTAGCCTTTGTCTACAAAAATTCTGGATGGGTGTCGTTGTGCGCTTGAGTGGTAACTTTGTTCGCTCGATCGATCTCACTTAATGTGTCTGGTTGCTCGAGCAGTGTTTTGGTCGCTCGAGCGGTCTGCTCGTATATCAGTCCGCAAAAGTCACTTTTTAGATCACTATTTTATTTCTCTATCTCTCTCTCTCTCTCTCTCTCTCTAAACATTTCAAAAACCTAGATCTACTATCCCTCTCTCTAAAACTCACCTTTAAACCTCAAATACACCATGACCCTTTGATCTTTATACCTTTGTCCTTTAGAGAAAAGATAGAATTCGTCGAGGGCTTCGTTCTAATATGAAAAGTTTGTATTTTCGTCGACGTTGAATTCTGGGAACTTGGGGCTTTCTCCTCTTCTGGAGTGGAGGTAGGGATTTTTTTAACGGCATGCATGTTGTTTAGCTTCGTTATATGTTATTTTTGTTAGTTATGGGTTTTCAAAAAAATAGATTTGGATATATATTTATTAATGCACATATTTGGATATATGTCATTTTGTCATGACCCACACCCGCTCCCATGGATTAGGACCATAACCGGCCAGTACACGTGAGATTACCTACGGCCTCTGTCATAAAACAAGTTATAGTTAATAATAGGAAGGCTAAATTGCGGAAGCAGAACTTGCAAAAATTATCCGATGAGTTGTGCATACATGGTTTAATAAAAACTCTTCTTATTTATGTAATCACTCACACTATACAAACATCCAAAGTATGAATATACTTATATACACGATTATTCCAAATTTAGTCTTAAGAAAACCAAGGTTATACACAAAGTTGTTCACATATGACCACAAAAAGAAACAAAAGAAAATAAATTAAAAGTAAGGCCTCTTGTGTGAGGCGACCTTGGTTGATTCCTTAAAACTCAGTTCCCTCACATGTCACTGGGACTGGGGCTGGACATCCCGCTACTTCCCTACATACATATAAATAAAGAGTAAGCTAACGCCTAGTGAATAATACAAGAGTAAAGGGGTTCATGAATGAGATTCATTAAGTAAATCATACTTGTAATTACACATTTGAAATATTCTCCTCATTCATGTCAAATTTATAGATCATAACAAAGCAAAACGACCTCGGGTCCAATATATCATATCCATGTACAAAACGACCTCATGGTCCATTATGTGCAAAACAACCTTGAGTCCAATTCATATACAAAACGACCTTGGGTCCAACATTTCATATGCATATTTGCTTTCGTATTCAAAACGACCTTTGGTCCATCATATGAAAAACAACATTGGGTCCAATCAATTCCTTATTCAAAATGACCTTTGGTCCATTTAACAACCATACAAAACAGCCTTAGGGCCAATCTGTATCCTTGTCATATATACCGAATGGCCTTGGGCCCATTTCATACTCATACATCAATCAATTTACATTTTCCATTACAGATCAAACGGATAAAATACTTATTCATAGTACCAATTCGGAAGTTTAGAAACTTACTACGTAGTTAACATTTAGAAAATATCATATACACCAAAAAATATCTTTACTAAGATATTACTCACTGTGTTCCGATGCATGATTCGTCCTTGCACTTGGCCATATATAATTCACAAAACATCGGGTCATGATACAATTCAATCAGTTCTTTAGTTTGCTTAATTCTCATAGGCTTCTTTCGTGTCTTTTAATTCATTTAGGATGCTCAATGTGTGCCTACGAATGCTCAGAAATGAAAAAGAATGGAAATTGGAACATCAAACAACTTTTCAAAAGTTCCTAAAACAGGGCACTCCGCTCGAGCACAACTTCCTTCACTCGAGCGGTCTGTAAAGCTCTGCAAAAGTACTGGTTGCTTGATTTTTAGGCTCGAGCGCAAGAGCTGGTTACTCAAGCAAAGAGCAGTTCAAAACAAGGTTTGCTTGAGAGCAACTTTTGTTGCTCGAGCCACTGTGCAATTTGTCTGTAAAAGTACTGGGAGCTTGCATTTTATGCTCGAGTTACAATTTCTTCGCTCAAGCGACTTGCACGTATTCTGGGCTTTCTAGAATGTTGCTTGAGGTTCAAAATATGATTTTAAATGGTACAACTCACAAATTATGGCCTATATTTGAGTCATACAAGCACTAACATGATCATATGAGTCAATTCTACAAGATTGAAGTTCAAATCATCATGAATTCATCATGCAAGTCCCAAACCATTACAAATTCTTCTTGATAACTTCAAAACTCATGCAATCAAGCTTCACAACTTCATGAATTATGCATGCATGTGAAATATAGTCTCCAATTCCATCTCAAATGGTACCAATGATGCTCAAATTCGTGAGACTCAACAAAATTATGCATACATGTGAGTTTTGACACAAAATTCTTCATGTTAAGGTTGTATCTAATATTTATTTTCCAATTCTTCTTGAATACACATTACTATGGGCTTAAACTCATGAATTATAGTTCAAATACTCACTTGGAGCCTTCAATCCTTCCAACTCTAGCAAATTCTTGTGCCTAGCTTCCCAAATCTTCAATCCCTAAGTCAATTCTATAAGAATTTGGTCCCTCTCTCTCTAAATCAAGTGTTTTCCCTCTCTAAAGTGTATAAACTTAGCCAAGAGATGAAAATGAGCTCAATATCTTGAGCCTAAGCACTAACTACACACATATATAGTGGTGATTAGCTTAATTTAATCATACTTGCTTAGAGTTAATCAATTGCACTTATTTTAATCAATTTAATCTAATTATTTTGATCCGAATCAATTTTTAATTAAATTTCATCATAGACTCTAAAAATTATGCTAATCACAATGGTATAGTCAATTTTGATTTTAGTCGCCTTTATGACCCTCAATTTCCAGTTTATACTAGAATACTGGACATATTTTTCCTACGATGGACATATATGAATTCAAAAATGCACATAGTCACATAATTAGCATCTAAATTCACATCAAAGCACAAATCACAAGTATAATTAACGATTAACAGTATATCACAGAACGGGGTTATCACATTCTTCCCCCTTTTAGGAAGTTTTGTCCTCCAAACTTATGTTACCTTCTATCGAAAACAAATGTGGGCAGTGTTGTCACATCTCTTCGTCTCTCTCCCATGTGGCATCCCTTCTATAATGTTCTTTCCACTCTACTTTCACCATCAGAATGGATTTGTTCCTCAATTGTTTTACTTGTCAGTCAATGATCCATTCTGGCCATTCTTTCTACTTTATATTTTTGTCAAAGGCTATTCGGTGATAATCAATTACGTGGAATGGACCTCGCAGATAGTCTCTTTACATTGATGCGTGGAATACGTTGTGCATTTGTTCCATTCCTGGTGGTAGAGTAACTCTATAAACAACTGGACCAAATCTTTTCAAAATTTGAAACAGCCCAATGTAAGGGCGTGACAATTTATCCTTTTTACCGAACCTCAATTGGCCTTTCATTGGATTTATACAAACGAACACATGATCACCAACCTCATATTCAAGAGGCCTTCTTCTAACATCCGCATAACTCTTTTGCCCACTCTATGTTGTCTTGAGTTTTTGTTAGATAATTTTAATCTTTTCGGTGGTAGT